ATATATTTTTTCTAAATTAATTCCAATTAATTCAAACTAATTAAATCAGTTTGAATTAATTATCTTGCGGATTAAGTTTGAACTTCCAAGATTTTTTCAAACTATTAATAACTTATTTTTTCCCTAAATCCTGATTTTTAGGCAATAGATTAGACTTTCGGATTTTATATATTTTAAGGTCATATGTATAGTTTTTGTTATTTATTTGTTGTAAGATTTGGAAAAATCGAGATTTGGAAAGATTGAAAACTTTTAGTGATATTTATTAGGTAATTTTATGGTATGATTTGCATAGTTTATTTTATAAGAATTCTAATAATATAGGATTTTATATAAGAATTATTATTGGATTCATATAAAAACAATTTTTGATTTTTTTAACCATATTATGAAGATAATTAATTTCTATAAATGGTTGTTTCTTTAATGATAATAAATTAATGATTGGATATGAGTTTATTAATAGAGAAATTGTTAAAAATGCCCCTTTTTCAATACCCCTTTTCAAAAATGCCCCCTTTGAGAGTTCATTTTTAAGTTTGCCCTCTTTTAATTTTTAATGACCATTTTACCTTTATTTGAAACAAAATTAGGTCCACAAAATACAAAATATTTTTTGGCGGGAAAAGTGATCCCCCAATTTTCCCGCCAAAACACTTGTAAAAACCTTTAAAATACCTTGTAAAATTTTTTCGTAAAAATTTTTCCCGCCAAAAAATTTTCCCGCCAAAAATTTTTTTTGCGGGAAAAGTTATTCCGCAATTTTTTCGGCGAAACTTTTTTGGCGGGAAAATTTTTGGCGGGAAAAATTTACAAGGTATTTTAAAGGTTTTACAGAGTATTTACAAGTGTTTTGTAAAGTTTTACAATGTATTTTAAAAGGTTTACAAGGTACTTATAACGTTTTATAAAGTATTTACAACTTGTAAAACCTTATAAAAAACTTGTAAAATCTTATAACTTGTAAAATCTTATAAAATAGCTTGTAAAATCTTATAATATCTTATAAATACCTTATAAATACATTGTAAAACCTTTTAAAATACATTGTAAAACCTTATAAATACCTTGTAAAAAACCTTTAAAATACCTTGTAAATTTTTTCCGCCAAAAATTTTTCCGCCAAAAATTTAACGCCAAAAAAATTGCGGAATCACTTTTCCCGCAAAAAAAATTTTTTGGCGGGAAAAAATTTTACGGGAAAATTTTACAAGGTATTTTAAAGGTTTTACAAGTTTTTACAAGTGTTTTTGGCGGGAAAAATTGTGGGATCACATTTCCCGCCAAAAATATTTTATATTTTGTGAACCTAATTTTGTTATATTTCCTTATATATTTGTAATATCTTTTATTAAAAGAAGGGTAATTTAGTCATTTTGTACATAAAAAGAGGTATTTTTAAAAATAGACAGCCAAAGGGGGCATTTTTGAAAAGGGGTATTGAAAAAGGGGTATTTTTGTGAGTCTCCCTTATTAATATATCCGAAATTTATGGTTGCAATATTTGCAAAATCTTGGAATTAATATAATTGTTATCAATATATGGTTGCTATTTTTTTCTCCTTTTTTAAATTTAAAAATCCCAATGGCATTATATGTAATATTTTACCTTTTATAAGGTTATTTAATTTGGAGTGATTCTCAATTAATAGTATAGATTGTTTTTTAAGCTGTAATAAAAAAATCTTATAAAACTACATTTGGGATCATCTCGAGATTCTCAACTAGACAACAACCTTCAGAATCAACTGCATAAAGGCTTTAAGAATTCCAGAAAAGTACCATAATTATATTAATAGTGAGTCGTTACTATATAGAGATATTCGCTATTAAATAATACTTTAAAGTCGTTAATAACCAATTTAAGTGTGTTTTCGGTTTTACATACGAAATGATCACATATGCGTAAACCGATCCTGCCTTCTCTGGTCTCAGATTCTCAGTCTGCCTTTGTCTCTGAGCGTCTGATTTCTGATAACATCTTAGTGGCTCACGAGATTGTTCATGGTCTCAATACCATTCCTGCGATTTCTTCTGAGTATATGGCGAATAAATCTGATATGTCAAAGGCTTATGATCGGGTGGAGTGGAGTTACCTAAGGTCTCTGCTGGAAGCTTTAGGGTTTCATCCTAAATGGATTTCTTGGGTGATGATATGTGTCTCTACGGTTACATATTCGGTCCTAATTAATGATCAGCCCTTTGGTATGATTATTCCTCAGAGAGGTTTAAGACAAGGTGATCCTCTATCATCTTTCTTATTTGTATTATGTACTGAAGGCCTTTCATTTCTCCTAAATTCAGCTCAAAGAGACGGTCTTATTAGCGGGATTAGATTCAATGATGATGGTCCTACCATTAATCATCTTCTCTTCGCGGATGACAGTTTGTTTCTATGTAAAGCTGATAGGGACCAAAGTTTGGTGTTACAAAAGATTCTCAAGGTTTATGGTGAAACAACGGGTCAAACCATCAATCTTGACAAATCATCTATTACCTTTGGGAGCAAGGTGACAGATCTAAGGAAAGCAGAAGTAAAAGTCTGTCTTGGAATTCTTAATGAGGGAGGGGCAGGCACTTACCTTGGTCTTCCCGAGTGCTTTAGTGGCTCTAAGGTGGAGATGTTGGGTTACATCAAAGATAGACTTAAAGCTAAGCTGTCGGGATGGTTCTCTAGATCATTGTCCCTTGGTGGTAAAGAAATTCTCCTCAAATCGGTTGCTCTTGCGATGCCGGTCTTCGCTATGTCATGTTTCAAACTCCCAAAGACTACTTGTGACAACCTCTCTAGTGCCATGGCAGCTTTTTGGTGGAGTGATTTTGAGGACAAAAGAAAAATTCATTGGCTTAGTTGGGACAAGCTTTGTTTACCTAAACATCTTGGTGGGTTAGGGTTCCGTGATATTCAGCTTTTCAACCAATCGCTGCTCGCCAAGCAGGCTTGGAGACTCATCCAATTCCCGGACTGCATTTTCTCCAGATTTATCAAGAGTAGGTACTTCCCAAACTCTGATTTTATGGATGCTTGTTTAGGTGGAAGGCCTTCCTTTGGTTGGAGAAGTATCATCTATGGTAGAGATTTACTAAAGAAAGGTCTAATCAAAAATATTGGGAATGGTGCTTCCATTTGTGTGTGGGTTGATCGTTGGTTAGATGATGATGTTGAAGGCTTGAGAGCTCCATGGATTAAAAATACCTTCATCAACCCAGATTTGAGAGTCAAGGAGCTGATTGATGAAAGAAGAAGGAATTGGGATTTAGAGAAACTTAACTTCCACTTTTTCCCCGAGGATGTCAATAGAATCAGAATGATTAAGCCTGTTGTTTCTGTTGATGACTTTTGGTCTTGGAAGTTCAACAAATCTGGGGACTACTCGGTTAAATCAGGTTTTTGGCTTGCTATGGAGATTTACAAAGCTTCCTTTCTCCAAGAAGCCTCTGTACAACCGTCTCTCAATCCCTTAAAAGAACAAGTTTGGAAGCTTCAAACTGACCCCAAAATCAAGGTTTTTCTTTGGAAGGTCTTGAGTGGTGTCTTACCTGTTGCTGACCTTCTTTCTCACAGGGGAATGAAAATTGACGATAGATGTCAATCGTGTGGACTACAAGGTGAGTCTATTGGTCACGCACTGTTCTCATGTTCCCTCTCTAGGCAAGTATGGGCCTTATCTGAGTTTCCAGCTCCACCTTTTAGTTTGGAATCTGCCTCTGTTTTTTCCATGATGCATCATCTTCTCATTAACAGAAATAATTTAAAGTGGCCTCCTCAGCTCAGAAAAAGCTTTCCCTGGATCATTTGGAGAATTTGGAAAAACAGAAACATTTTCTTTTTTGAGGGTAAAAGATTTTCTGCTTTAGATACTGTGAAGAAGATCAAGGAAGATGTCGAGGAGTGGTTTTTGGCTCAAGTGATTGAAGACGAGGAAAGAGCTAATCAAGCATCTAGACCAGTGAGCTCTTCTGAGTCTTCTCAGACTATTTCTAGGCTGCCTTGGTATCCTCCTATTAGTGGATGGTTGAAGTGTAATGTTGGTGTGTCCTGGTCCAAGAGAAATAGAATGGCGGGTTGCGCATGGGTTTTAAGAGATGAAAAAGGCCTAACAATGTTTCATAGTAGGAGGGCTTTCTCTAACATTTTGTCAAAACAGGATGCTAATCTGATTGGAGTGCTTTGGGCAATCGATAGCATGTGTAGCCACAAGATAGACAAGGTTTTCATTGCAATGGAGGATGTGGTATTGCTGGGGGCTGTTTTGAGACCAAAAGCATGGCCCTCCTTCAAATTTCAAAGGGAACTCATTCTGGATACTTTGAGACTGATTCCGAATTGGAGATTGATTATTGAAAGTGCTTCAGCAAATAGAGGAGCTAGTCTCATTGCCAAAAGCGTCACCACAGATGGTCGTGTTCATTCTTATGTAGCTTCGGGTTATCCGAGTTGGTTGGGTGGTGTCTTTTGTGATGAGAGAGTTTAATCCTCTTTTCTTGCTTTTTGGGTTATTATAGGTGTGTCTCATGTGAGAGCAATTTTTTGTAAAGGCCTTAGTGTGTTAAGGTGTTTTTGAGATAGGATTTAGTCTTTCCTGCAGGGATTGTGCTTTTGTTATGCTTGTATGTTTCCAAATCGATCAATATAATTATTCAGACGACAAAAAAAAAAGATCACATATGCGTAAACATATAAACCCTTTTTCAAAAAATATGCGTAAACATATATATTACTAATCTAAAGTTATTTTTATCAGTTATAGCTATCCTTTAAAAAAACCAGAAGACTCAACGAAGGTCGTCACAAATTATTTGAAGACCGTGTAAAAAAATATTTATTAAACTTATTTGTGATATTTTTTTTAACTAACGATACTTATGTTTTTAATATGGGTCTAAATATATGTATATATTTAAATATTTCTTACAGTAAACTAATTCTTAAAACCAGTGTCTTGTTTGAGAAACGGTCTTCGTTAAAACACTTCCCTGATAACGATTATCTTTTTGGTTGTTGTCTGAATAATGTTCAATTTTTTGCTCGATCTACTTCTCAGGTATATATATAAGATTATGCATAAATCAAGTATCATATTTTTCAGAAATCTAATTCTCGTACCAGAATACGTGGGCACCCACGAACACTGTTGAACAATGGAAGTTTTTGATCGTCATTTTCCACTATAAATGCAAGTGGTGGACAGATATATTTATGTGTATATATATACTATGAATGGCACATAATCCATATAATAAGCTTTCAACCAAAAAAAAAAAAAGATTCACCATGGTTCATGCTGATGCTCATAATTTTCCCGGGTCGGATCAAAACCCCACTCATATGAACAAGTTCGCTTGCGGGTGTGCCATTGTTGCTTCCATCATTTCTATCATCTTTGGATATGGTAAACATTAATTTTCTACATATCATATAAATATATATATATATATATATATATATATATATATATATATATTCAATGGAATTATATTAATTATTTTATATTAACGAATCTTTTTTCTTTTATTTTGTTATTGTGCGTTGTCCTTAGATACGGGAGTTATGAGCGGAGCTCAGATATTTATAAGAGAGGATCTAAATTTAGACGACACTCAGATCGAAGTTTTGGCCGGAATCTTGAATCTTTGTGCACTCGTCGGATCACTAACGGCGGGAAAAACTTCTGACGTCATCGGCCGACGTTACACCATTGCTCTCTCCGCCGTGATATTCTTAGTGGGCTCAGTTCTTATGGGTTACGGCCCAAACTACGCCGTTTTGATGGTCGGAAGATGTATCGCCGGAGTTGGTGTAGGGTTTGCTCTCATGATAGCTCCTGTTTACTCTGCCGAGATATCCTCTGCTTCACACAGAGGCTTTCTCACTTCTCTACCTGAGCTTTGTATTAGTCTTGGGATTTTACTTGGTTATGTCTCGAATTACTGTTTTGGGAAATTGACGTTGAAGCTTGGATGGAGATTGATGCTTGGAATCGCAGCGTTCCCGTCTTTGATATTGGCTTTTGGTATTACAAGAATGCCCGAGTCGCCGAGGTGGCTTGTGATGCAAGGTAGGTTAGAAGAAGCCAAGAAAATAATGGTTTTGGTATCCAACACAGAAGAAGAAGCTGAAGAACGGTTCAGAGACATCTTAGCCGCTGCGGAAATAGATGAGATAGAGATAAAAGCAGTGAGTGGCGCCGTTAAGAAGAATCAAGGTAAAAGTGTTTGGAGGGAGTTGGTGATAAAACCGCGACCTGCGGTGCGTTTGATCTTGATAGCGGCCGTTGGGATACATTTTTTCGAGCATGCGACGGGGATTGAAGCCGTCGTGTTGTACAGCCCGAGAATTTTCAAGAAAGCGGGAGTTGTTTCGAAAGACAAGCTCTTACTAGCCACGGTCGGTGTAGGTTTAACTAAGGCCTTTTTCATAATAATAGCTACTTTCTTGCTAGACAAGGTAGGTCGGAGAAAGCTTCTAATGACCAGCACGGGTGGGATGGTCTTCGCACTGACCAGTTTAGCTGTTAGTCTCACGATGGTTCAGCGATTTGGGCGGTTAGCGTGGGCATTGAGTTTAAGCATCGTCTCTACATATGCATTTGTAGCGTTTTTCTCCATTGGGCTTGGGCCTATCACATGGGTGTATAGCTCCGAGATATTCCCGTTGAGACTTAGGGCTCAGGGAGCGAGCATAGGCGTTGCGGTTAATAGGATCATGAATGCGACGGTCTCAATGAGTTTTCTATCCATGACGAAGGCGATCACGACAGGGGGCGTGTTCTTCGTATTTGCCGGAATAGCCGTGGCCGCATGGTGGTTCTTCTTCTTTATGTTGCCGGAGACGAAAGGATTGCCATTGGAGGAGATGGAGAAGCTTTTTGGTGGTGGGGGTCCTCGTGGTGATCGCGACGAACTAGAGATTCAAACTAAGAGAGTCAATAATTAGGTTAGACTATCATGGCTATGTAGAATAATTTTTAAATCCAACATGATTTGGCATATCTATTATAAGGTTTTAATAATCATATGTAGTGAACATCGATCGAACCATCTTGGAGTTGTGATTCATTTCGATGGAAAAAAAGTCACAGTGGTTTGTGGAATCATCACCGTATATATATAACCTATTTGGAATGGAAGACATTTTTGAGATTGAGTGTATTTTATATCCTTTGCTTATCAAGCTTTTTAGTTTTTATCTCGCACGGGGTTGAATACTTGATTAATATTTTTGCTGATTAATTAGTTCTAATATTTTTCTTTAAGCTATAAGGTTAGAGTGTAACTGTAATAGAAACGAACAATGGAGGAAAAGTCTTATACCTCACAAATGGTAATGAAATTACGTAAGAAATCATAACTGGTTTTTTTAATATGGTAAGTGTCAGAATGTACACGATAGCTATTAGCCTAGATCATCTCTTAATGGAGTTTCGTGCAACAGATTCAACAGTGGTTTGAAGAAAAGATAATAGCCACCACAGAGATTTAGACTAGCAAAGAAGTTAACATTAAGAGAATTTACTAACCTGATACTTTGCCAAAGCGCACATCAGATAGAAGATTCAATAGGTACCTCTTCAAGAGCTGCACTAGCTAACTCTTGAATTTTCAGGTGTGGCACAAACTCTTCAGCAGCATCCTACATGTTTTGTTAAGAATGAATCACGTAATCTTTATTAACACTCAAGTATCGATACAATTGTTAACGAGAAGAGCTCCAACACATACTGTTGAATCATCACTCTCTCAATCTAGCGACACACGTCACTGAACAAACATCAACAAATGCATAATCTCCCGTAAACAGATACTACAGTTGATATACAAAAGGTCTAAACCAAACTAAACCGGCTCTTCTTCTAAACCAGCTTTCTTCTCACGTGACAGTCTTTGCTCCCACATACTTATCAATACTCCCCCTTTCGAAGACAGCTTTTCCTCAAGCTGAGAGAGTTGAGCTGTTGTACCAACTCCATTGACAGGAACCCAAACGTTGTCCATGGTCTCGTGTTGTCTCCAAATAGAGCTGCAAACTCCAGTGCAGTGCAACAACCAGTATAAAAGAGTGGCTGACACTTCCTTGTACGGACTTCAAGGATTTTCGCCTCTGTTTTGTGTGCAGTCTATCCAGCTTAAGTACACACAACTTGATCAAGTATACAGTGATATGACCTGAATGTATAATCTCCATGTTAAACATCGTATAGATTCCTGGGTCAGGAGGAAACTCTAACCAATGCCAACCAAATAACCATGCCAACCACCACCGAAAATCCACAGCTACTTCCCATTGTCTCAGCAAAAATTTGAGGCTCTGCTGATCCCTTCCCACATTTCTTTGTTTATACTTGAATTTACACTCAATTTAACTTGTGATATCATCTACAATTGAATTCTCCTCCCCATACAACTTGTCACTTTTCAGTGAAACATAGGACATAGCATAAGCATCCACACTGTATGCCTTCTCAAAAATCTTCATCATATCCGTGACAATGAAAACCTGCAACTCTCTTCCATTTCGGAGCAACCACCACAAATTCGTTACTGCATCCGTTTGTTGCCAGAGTCCAAGTGTTGGTAGTGTCTTAGTTCTCCAACAGTGCCACACAGAGAAATAATAAAGCTTGCACAATTTGAATGAAAACAGGCTTCGCACATGATGGCTACAAAACTGAAATTTACCACAAGTTGATATCCACAGCTTTGCAATATACCCTTCCAAAATTTGGTCGCTTGTAGGATCATGTTTGATTGTCTCTTCCCAATATGATAATTGTTCCTCAATCAAAAATCTTGTCTCTAGCGTGTCTTTGAACATGAATTTCCAGGATTTGGAACATTTTGTTGTTGTCTCTTCTGTCGCAAAACATGCTCACTAATAAGCATTTTATCGAGCCGGTGAGATGCAAAAAAATTGGCCTTTACACATGTTGACTGCTCATCATAATCAGCTACTTCTAAGACATCAACAACTTGTATTTGATTCTCTTGACTTGGAACTGCATACGTTTCCTCTGATGGTTTAATCGTATCAGTCATTTCCAAGGTATCAATTGATTCTGTTTCACAACTCTCCAATATGAGAGTCTGCTTCTCAAATCACTTCAGTCGCATCGCTGGCCTCATTATGTGAAATGAATCGACTATTCTCTGAAACTACCGATGTATTCCTGATTTTTATCTTGAAAAATCAATGCTTTTCGCTGACCGGAACCTGTCTGGATCAATTCCTTCTCCTTCTTAGCTAAGTCTGATTCTTGCATTGAATCTTTTTCCCAAACGAAACGTTGGCTTGGTCCTCTAATCTTCATCATTATAACCACCCATTCTAAAGAAACGCTCAACTCTCGCAATCCAACTGTAAATCCCAATGACACAGGCATTTCTATATTTCTAATTGAGTTGCCCCTAAACACCAGGCCTAATGTTGCTATGGCAAGGTTCCGAGTACGAAACATGTACCTGATTGTAAAAATCTTGCGATCTTGTACCCTCCTCCGTCTGATTTGAACCACCAATCTCTCCTACTGGCTCCACTCGTGGACAAGATTGAATGAGATTCACATGGTCAACCAACATCGACAAAAAATGATACCGAAAACCAAGCCAATAAGTACCTCTTCAAGAGTTGCAAATGCTGAACAAGCTTGTTTGTATCCAAGAACAAGAGTCTGCGGAGAAGACCAATAACAACTTTCTCAAACTTATATTGAAATTCTACCTTAAAAACTCGATCACAATTAACAACCAAACCAGACTGTGAAATGTGAATTTGTGTGGAAACAATGGCTGGAAAGCCACTTTTGGGGAAATAAAATGCTGGAATGCCACCTTTATATTTTTATTTTCTTTTACTATTTCTTTTTAAATCAAAATCAGAAGAAATACCCAAAAACCCTTTCAAAAGGTTAACAATTACTCTTCTCCTCTAGAGAGGCACTGAGAAGATCCGAGTCATCGACCGACCAAATCATCTCTCTTCTTCTTCTCCTCTAGAAGTTGGGCGGTGGAGACTTCCATTACCTACAAATATCAGATTCTTCTTTCCTTCGCTCGATTCCATTTCAAAATTTGTTCTTCTGGGTCTCTCTCTTCTCCTGTTACTCAAGAAGACGATTCTTGGGTTTGTCTAAAGTTTTGAGCTTTTTCTCTGTGGAGACTTCGATTACCTACATATATCAGATTCCTCGATTCAAAATCAAACTTTATTCTTGTGGGTCTCTTCTGCTATTGCTGAAGAAGAAGATTTGTGGGTTAGTTTAAAGTCTTAAGCTTTTTTTTTTGGGTGTGTAAGCAAAATCAAATGGAGTGGGATAGTGATTCCGATCTCAGCGGGGGAGATGAAGTGGCGGAGGATGGATGGTTCGGCGGAGGTAACAGAGCGATTCCGTTTCCGGTAGGTAGTCTTCCTGGAACGGCGCCGTGTGGTTTTGTGGTCAGCGATGCTCTTGAACCTGATAACCCTATCATTTATGTTAACACTGTTTTTGAGATTGTTACTGGTTATCGAGCTGAGGAAGTTATTGGTCGAAATTGGTGAGTTTTCTCTTCTTGACTTTTACCTTAAATTTGTGGTGATGATTTTGTTACTGTAGCGAGTCTTTGTCCGTTTTGTGGTATTGGTACGATGTAACTAAGAGAGCTTGTTGAGAGCTATTTTGACAGAAAGCTTATGGTTCTTGTTGATTATATTGGCATATTGTTAGGTATTCTTAGTTGGGAAATGTCGAAATCATAGGATTTGAAATTGGTTATAGAGGAACAAGGCTATAATGTGAGAGTTAGATGTTAGTCTTTGTGATAAGACTTGGAACTTTCGTCTTTGTGATATGTTTTCTTCTCTCATGCATTGTTGAATTAGTATTTCTGATGTGTTTTCTTCTCTCATGCATTGTTAAACTGTTAATATCTTTGCTTCATCACACAAAATGTTATTGGAAATGCGTTCTGTCATATTATATGTCTGTTGAACTTATTCTTATCCTTGTAAAAGTCTTGTGTCCTTAAGGGGGAATGGATCGAAACATGGTTCTTATATCTAGCATGATAATCATGTATCATCCATACATGCTGCTAATGCTGGTAATATCACTTTATACCATATGTGTTAGCATCTTTTACACTTTTTGTTTGTTTGTTTGCTCTAAACTTTGTTTGTTGCTTTTGTTTAGGTCTTGTAAATGCTTTAAACTTGATTAAGGATATCAAAGAAAAATACCCTAGGTCAATGATTCATAGGTTCTGATTTGTTTAGAAAGTATGAAATTTTTTAACGTGAATCTTTTGGTTATGAATCATATTGTATGCAATCGTTTATTTAGGTACAACTGGTATATTTAGGTACAACTACGTATAGGTACAACTGGTATATTTTGGTTTTGTAGTGTTGCTCTGTCAAAGATAGAGGATAAGTGGAAAGAAGAGCTTGATCAAGAACTGGAAAGAAAGCGCACAAGTCAAGTCTGCACGTACTTGTGGATTAAGATTGCACATGACTTATGTTTTGTATTTTTTTTGTATTGTGGATTAAGAACATATGACTTCGTATTTTTGTAAACCAAAAAAATATTTAGATTAGATTTATGTTCAATTGGTTTTGTAGGTACAACTAGTCTATTTAGGTACAACTATGTGTATGGATTACTTATAAGAAAGTACAAATAGATCACTTTGGTACAACTGAGACAATTAAAAATAACATTTTAAAAAACAATTTTTAATAAATTTCAAAGAAGTAAAAAAAAAAAAATTATCCACGTAAGCATCATTTTGGCGGCGGGATATTATTTTTAATCCACGTAAGCTTCATTTTGGCGGCGCGATATTATTTTTAAATCATCACACGTGTGGTAAATTGTTTTGTTTTAAACATAGTTGTACTAGTTGTCCAGTTGTACTCACATGTTCATAGTTGGACTTTGGCGATTTTTGCGTATTTTCAGTTGGACTTTAATAAAAATTAGTAATTTTAAGTTGGACATATGTTGTTACCCTATTAATTATCATCTAAGAAGTTTTCATAATACAATTCATACGAAATCATAATTTTCACCTATTTTGCATCAATAGAAGTGATCACCTACAAAGTGTTCCTTGTACTATAAGGAGTGTTTCATATGAAAACAATAGTATGCACTAGGAAATTGATAAATTCAAGTTTTATTTATTTAAAATTGTTTCTTTTTTAGTTCAACATGTTTTTGGAATCCTTGTTAACTCTAATTTATCGTTTTTCTTATTTGTTGAATACACATACGGATACATTTATGGTCTTAGTTGTACCTTGTCAAAACCTAATTATACCCAGTTGAACATAGTTGTATGAATACGACAAGTACATATACTGATACATATATGGTTATAGTTATAGTTTTAGCTGTACCCAGTATATTTATGGTCTTAGTTGTACTAGTCGGTCCTAGTTGTACCAGTCGAATCTAGTTGTACCCGGTCGAACATGGTTGTACGATAAATACAAATGATTTTTAGTCATCAAATATTCTTTTAATTAATATCATTTATCTTCCACAGGGGCAATGAATTTGGTTCTATTAATCACTGTTAGTGTTGCACAATAAAACAATAAACTAAAGACACCTTGAGAATCCTTAACCACAGAAAAAACTTCTATATAAATGTGCGAACATGAAGTCTACTTAAATTATTTTCTTAATTTTAGAAGAGAAAGCAAGAGAGCATGTCAAACAACTCTAGCACTAGCAGAACCTAGATCTACTTGCATAAGAACTCAAAAAAGTCATCAAAAACACTGTCATCAAACGACGAGAGTGGAGCTATGGCAGCCAAAACCTTTGCCTTTTCTTCCAACAATTGAGCTTCGAGGTCTGAACACTTTCGCTTCACCTTCTCCAAATGAGCTTCGAGCCTTGAACACTTCAACTTCAAATCCTTCAAAACAATACCATTTTCAGTATCAGCTTTTTAATTACACCAAAGACATAAACAAGCATTTGTCTTTATGGATATAAATAACCAAAAAATGTGTAGAATCTATCAAAAAACCTGATCTTTCTTTTGTTTTGGTTCTGGACTTAAGGCTTTCTTCACAACTGAAAACCAACTTTTACCCATTTCTTAGTTTCTTCTTTTCAACGTATCTGCAAATACAAATCACAGAGGTATATATTGTTCAATTAAACCTAAGATTCATCTTTTAATCTGAAACCAGAGCTTTAGGAGAAACATTGATACATGAATACAAAATCAGAGCTTTAACTGGAATGTATAGAACTCACATATTAGAGAGCAACCAAAGTTTTTTTTTAAGGACAAAAAAACTCGGAGAAAAAACCAAACTTTTGAAGCCTTTGTCTGTAGATCAAAAACTCAGAATCTGAGAGAACAATAAATTCAATTTTCAGAAATGCAATTAAAGACAAAGAAACACATAGGGATACTTGTGTAACTGACTAGTATACACGCGTACTTACACTTGGGAAGTGACAATTATTGAAACCCGGAAGAGAAATCCAAAGAATAATAAAATAAAAAAATTCTAAGAACGACCAAAAGAAATGCAAAAGTTAGAGTCTTTGTTAGATTGAGAAACTAAGAAATAATCTCTTAGTTTCATCAATGGCAGAGGAGAGATGAGAACAAACCAATTGCAAGGATGAGACGCCGGAGACGGTGGGCGGCGAGATCGGCGAGGTGAGCTCTGGTTTGTTGGGAGGAGAGGATGCGAGCAAATTTTTTTTTGCTTTTTCTATTTCTTTTTGATTTTAATTTTTAATAGTTAATTAAATAAAAATATTCATAAGGACAAAATGGAAATAACACATACTAGAGTGGCATACAGACTCCAAAATGGCAGGCCAGATTAATATTTCCGGTTCGGTGGCAAACAAGCCTCTGTCTCATTTGTGTGGTTCCACGAAGATCTTGTTCGAAACAATGGCTGGAAAGCCACTTTCTGGTGAAAAATAGGTTGGAATGCCACTCTTCTATTTTATTTTTATTATTATACGAATTAAATATAAAGAGATTTAAATCGAGTATTATGAAAAGACCAAAAAACCAAGTCAATATCCAACGTTAGACCCGTTTCTATATATTTGATCCAAGCCCAATTTTTGAAACTGATTATTGCGATCGAAAGCCCATCCGACCAAGCCCAACAGAGAGATAAGACAAAACAAATAAACGAAACGGTAACTGTTTCGTTTTTCTTTTCTCTCATTCCCGACTCTTCTTCTCCGAAAAAAGAGAAAAACCCTAACTTTTCCGATTTCACATATTCTTCTCCAATTTCTCTCCGATTTCTTCGATTTTTTCTCAAATTTCTTCGATTTCTTCTCGTTTATCTCTGTCGCAGTCGACATTTTGCACCGCCGTTGAAATTCTAAGGGAATTTTGGTATGGCTCGTGTTAAAGACGCCTTAGGTGAATATGAATCTACGGCGGCGCATCCGATAGAACCAGTAGATTCAAGTACAGTGGTCGACCCTACAGAAGAAACCGAAGATCCAAGAGAACCAAAAGATGCTGAACCTGGAAGTGAAACCGTCGGGATGCAAACTGATCCGACAGAGGAAGCAGCAGTTGATGCTTCCGAGAGTCAACCTGGAAACGAAACCGTCGAGTTGAAAAGGGATGATGCTGAAGGACAAGTAGCAGTTGATGATTCCGATATTCAACTTGGAAAAGAGAGTCCGATAGAACCGAGTACTGAAGCAGTAGAGGCTGCAGAGAAGGAACTCGTGGATGCATCAGAGGAAGAGGAAGAGACCGTTACTGCTCAGGTATACATTAGTTTGAGAATGGATTAATGGTATTCAAGGTACAACTAGTTCAACTAGTGAATTAGGTTGTCTTTGAATATGAGTATATATACTTTTGATGCTGGTTCTTGGTATAATTGAATCGGAGAATATATAGGTTTGAATTTATGTGTCTTGATACAACTAGTTCAACCTCTCCCGATTATATATTTGTTTGAATTGTGTGTTTTGATATAAGTAGTTCAACAACTTAAACTCAGCGATTGTGTTTTGAATATGCAGGATACATATGAGGAAGAGGATGATGCTGCTGGTAATGCTGGTGAAGAGGATGAGCATGGTGATGTTGGTACTGGTAAAGATGGTATAGAGGCTGAAGATGAATACGCACAAAGGAAAGAAAATTCAACTTTCCTTAAAAAGCTCCGGGTAAGTGATGGTAAGAGTGCTTCTCGACCATCAACGACTCTAACTCAATCACACATAAATGTTCCTCGCCATGTCTTCATAAAATAGGTTGTTGGTCGGTGAATCTTCAATATGGATCGAAGAAATATGTCGTTTGATCGGTAAACTTGAACTTGGAGGTTCTAGTGAGGCTCCCGTGGTAACCAGGTGAATTGGTGCAACAATATTCCTGCTCCACCAATATTTATAAATTGTCCATAATATCGGTGTATATTTAATAAAGTACGAGGAAATGTGACTTTGGGTTGATGATAATGAAGATGGCTTGATCTGGGTGGGTCTTCACAACGTTCTGGTTAATTGGCTCGTTGGTTTATGATCCTGACTCGATCAAAGATCTTAACATATGTGTTTTTTTTTTATGAATCTTCACTTTGGTTCAATTGTCTGTTGCTCCAATTGATTACGGGAAAAATTAAAGTTGAAGTTTAATTGTTTGTTGCTCCATGTAGGAAAGAGAAACCTTGTTTTTTATTCTTTGACTGCGCTTCTGTTCTTTTTTTTCCACATTTGTGCATCTACTGCTCAAATCTAATTTAGTCATTTCACAACCCTTTAGTTCTTTATTTTTCACTTTATAGTGTTATAAATTTAAATAAATTATCAAAATAAGTTATTTTTCTTTTAATTATACAAAACCGTCAATATATTATTGGTTAAGTCCATTTGGCTCCGTCTTCCCCACCGGGAGTTCGACTCCACTAAATCGCGTTACCCCGCGTAGTAGAGATTGGCTATGGATCGGGCCCTGTCAATCCAAAAATGTGAAGAAAAAAAAATTAAATTGTCAAATCCACATGGAAAATTTGAGGAGCAATGGTATGATATGATATGACGGACTAGATTAATTAGAGATTTTCCTAACAAAGGTAAGATGAATCAACAATACTTAGCTCCTAAGATCACGGAGCCAAAAAGAGTAAAATTAGACCGAAGATTATTACAAATAGTAACTAACACAAAACTGTTATTAAGACAGAAAGAGAGAAAGAAGAGGCATGTTTCTCGGAATGAAGACAGAGCAAATCTCAATCTTCCTTTTTCACCTTATTCCTATAATCATTTTCAGACCAAATGTTCAAAAACTCTCTCCCCTTAATCTCTTCCTCTAAGGTACACACTTTCATGCTAATCTCTTAACTAATTTTGTATTAATCTCTTAAATTTAGCATTACCTGTTTGTTAATTTGTTAACGATCTAACGAACATAATAAGACAAGAACTTGTTCCAAAATTAACACCATTTTGATTATGCTCTGTTTTTTCTACGTTTTGTTATTGTCCTTCTCAGAATAATTGAGTGGTTAAGGGAGAGAAGACGGAGAGTTTTTATTTTCGTTACCGGAAAATTTTGATCTCCGATGGCTTCTTCTCCTGATTCTGCTCCTCCTCCAACAAACTCCAGCTCTTCTCCATCTCCACCGTCTAATACCAATTCAACCACCTCTTCTCCGCCGGCTCCGTCTCCTCCTTCTCCTACTCCTCCTCAAGGAGACTCATCATCGTCTCCACCTCCTGGATCCACATCTCCACCAGCTCAACAAGCTCCTTCTCCTCCTAATTCCTCTAATACTTCGCCTTCACCACCGTCACAAGGCGGTGGAGGAGAAAGAGGAAATGGAGGAAACAGTGGTGGAAATGATTCTCCACCGTCGCGCGGCTCTCCTCCTTCTCCTCCTTCTAGGAGTAATGGAGATAATGGTGGTAGCAGATCATCGCCACCAGGAGACACTGGAGGCTCTCGCTCGGACAATCCTCCTTCTAGCGGAGGTGCCAGCGGAAGCAGTGGAGGTGGAGGAGGAGGAGGAGGAGGAAGTAATACGAATACGGCGATCATAGTTGGTGTATTAGTCGGAGCTGGACTTTTGATGATCGTTCTTATTATTGTTTGTCTTAGACGCAAAAAGAAGAGAAAAGATTCCTTCTACCCTGAATCCATGAAAGGTATAAACATATACACACTTTATGTTTCAAGTTTCAACATATAAAAAGCTTAGAATTTTTCATAAAATCTCAGGAAATCAATATCAATACTATGGAAACAACAACAACAACAACAATGCTTCACAGAATTATCCAAATTGGCACCTAAATGCACAAGGCCAAAACCAACAATCTACTGGTGGTTGGGGAGGCGGTGGACCATCACCACCTCCTCCCCCGCGGATGCCTACAAGCGGAGAAGATTCTGCCTTGTACTCAGGCCCATCACGCCCGGTTTTACCTCCTCCTTCGCCTGCTCTAGCCCTCGGATTCAATAAGAGTACTTTTACTTACCAAGAGCTTGCGGCTGCAACGGGAGGGTTTACGGATGCTAACCTCTTGGGACAGGGAGGATTCGGGTATGTCCATAAAGGAGTTTTGCCTAGTGGGAAAGAAGTAGCAGTTAAGAGCTTAAAAGCGGGTAGCGGACAAGGAGAGAGGGAGTTTCAAGCTGAGGTCGATATCATTAGCCGTGTTCATCATCGATATCTTGTTTCTTTGGTTGGATACTGCATAGCTGATGGACAGAGGATGTTGGTTTATGAGTTTGTTCCTAACAATACTTTGGAATATCATCTTCATGGTTAGACCACTTAAAACTTTTAACACAAAGTTTATTTTCTCTAATCTATAGATTCAAGAAAGTTGTAACCTTAATTTGTTGTTGTTGTTGTTGCAGGGAAAAATCTTCCGGTAATGGATTTCTCCACTAGATTGCGTATCGCCTTAGGTGCTGCTAAAGGACTCGCTTACCTTCACGAAGACTGTAAGTTTTAACATTCACAGTCTCATTTTCTTAACCAATTATGTTGCATAAACAGAGAAAGCTCTGTCTCTGACTAGTGATTTCTTTTTGGCTGAGAAAATGGTGCAGGCCATCCTCGGATCATTCACCGCGACATCAAGTCTGCAAACATTCTCTTGGACTTCAACTTTGATGCAATGGTGATAAACTAGTAGCTGCATTCCGCTACGTTTTTTTGTTAAGAAGACATTGATGACATTTTGCATTTGTTTATTCAGGTGGCTGATTTTGGACTGGCAAAGTTAACTTCTGATAACTACACTCATGTATCTACTCGTGTGATGGGAACTTTCGGGTAAACGTTTTACCGTATGATAAGATTTTTCGCGCCACTCAAGAAACATAACCTTTGTAGACTAATCCAATTTGCTTCTCTGCACAAACATGTGTAGATATCTTGCTCCAGAATATGCATCGAGCGGTAAATTAACCGAGAAATCCGATGTTTTCTCTTACGGTGTCATGTTATTGGAACTGATCACTGGAAAACGACCGGTTGATAATAGCAGCACCATGGATGACACCTTAGTAGATTGGGTATGCATGTAACATATGTTTTGTATATGTTTTCGCCTTTTTTTGCGTACTAATGATCACTATTGATCACGAATACAGGCTCGGCCTCTTATGGCTCGCGCACTAGAAGATGGAAACTTTAATGAGCTCGCAGATGCAAGGCTTGAAGGCAACTACAACCCGCAAGAAATGGCTCGAATGGTGACTTGTGCCGCTGCTAGCATTCGCCATTCCGGGCGTAAACGTCCAAAGATGAGCCAGGTGAATCGAAATTATAACCGCAAAATCTATACTTTTCAGAGAATTAACAAAAAAATGTTTTGCGTTTTCAGATAGTAAGAGCATTAGAAGGAGAAGTGTCCTTAGATGCTTTAAACGAAGGTGTGAAGCCAGGACACAGTAACGTTTACGGGACATCGGGAACAAGTTCGGATTATAGTCAGACATCTTACAATGCAGACATGAAGAAATTCAGACAGATAGCTTTATCGAGCCAAGAATTCCCAATCAGTGACTGTGAAGGAACATCTAGTAATGATTCTCGAGAGATGGGACCTAAAAGCCCTGCTCCTCCTCAATGAGATCGAATCAATGATTCTATAAAGAAGAGATTTTGGGGTTCTGAGAGTAGAGCCAATGTAAGCTTTAAAGCAAAAGCATTGTCATTGCTTCATTGATTGGATTTTTTTATACTTTTTCGACTAAATTGTGTTACGTTTAGATCGTTACGTATGTGTATGATTCTCTGAAACAGATTGAGATTTGATTCAATTTATCAAACATGAAACTACTATTGTTTGATTTTGGATTTTATCTACTACATTCATAATCAAAGTGACAAGCTTTTTCAACTTTGGCTTTATGTTGTTCTTAGTCCTTTACATGCTCTGTTTTCCCCTGTTTTCGTAATCCACCAAATTAAACCGAACTCAAACCAGACTATACCGGGTCACAATTAAACCGGTCCGGTTAAAAAACCCTCGCGTGTGACGCCTACCTTTCCTCTCCTCCGTCATCTCTCCCATTTCTTCCTCAAATCTCTCTTTTCGCGTCAATGAAATTTTAAACCTTTTGAATTTCTTATTGAAAGTTTACATTTTTTCTGTTGAATCCAACTATGTTAAGATTGAGAAGTCTCTTGTCGCTGAAAAGTTCTTCGATTGTAGAATTGTCATCACCAAACGCAACAGAAGCAATTCGTTTCGCTCCATTTCATTCGACGAGTGTTTTGTCGGAGAAATCGAGGAATAACTTTGGTTCTGTAAGATCTTTCTCTGCAAAGATTAGCTTCATCATTCATTGAATCTGTAATTAGATGTTTAATGATCTTACATTAATTTTGGTTACAGGAAAGAGCTTCTGAAGGCGAACGATCTTCAAAGGTAAAATTTTGATGAGCAACATAAAAGATGAAAATTTGAGTAAGAATCCAATTGTTGATGCATTGATCGGATTGGAATCAAGAATATGAATTGTTACATGGGTTTGTATAAAATCTACGATTGATTGTTGGTAGAAATGCAATCCGTATTGATGAGTTCATTTTGTTTGTCTTGTCATGAATTTGATTTTTAGTGTGTGTGTGTGGTCCTTTGTTTATGTGTATATATATATATATATATATTCGTAGTTATAGTTATAAGAGAGTTAGTTCTCCTCTGAAGCTGTGAATGTTGATCCCAGAACTCTTCCATAAGATTCACATGTACTGTTAAGGAGAAGGGTCGTACTAGTGCTAAGAAGACTGTGGATAAACTCCTTTTCCACAGGGGAATTAATGATCCGCTTCAGGTGAATTCTTCATGCCATTGTTGTTACATGGTTTTGTTAGGATGTGTTTGCTTTAGTGTTTATATGTACTGTATTTTCTTATACGTAGAATGAATGGCATTTCGGGCCAAATCCGCTTATCCGGGATAGGCATATGAAGAAAAAGCCTCCGCCTGGCAGGGGAAAGAAGCCTCGGGATAAGAAAACAAAACGTGAGTGGCTTTCTTTTCTTCTTCTTAGTATTACACAACTCTTGCCTCTGTTTTTGCTGTATCCTTTTGTTTGTTTGGTATACTAGGATGGCACAGAGAAGGAAATGCCGATGATGACTTTGGTACTGATGCTAATAATACATTCGAGAACAAATGGAGAGAACGCTGGACAACTCAATCACAGAAGGCCTCATATTCGAAAGACTCGGCATCGGGATTTGAATGGAGAGAAGGCTGGAGCTGGACAACTCAATCTCAAAGGAGCAAAAGTTGGAATAATGAGTCTTTTGATGAACCTTTGAATGTTGGGACTCGATCTGAGAGGACTGTTCTGGGCTTGCCTCTTGATGGTCCCATCAAGATTGATGATGTTAAGAATGCGTAAGTCTTTCATTTGCTTCCAATGCTCCCTATAATCTAAAAAAGAGTGTTCATTGAAGTTTTCTTATTTTGCAGCTTCCGATCTGCTGCGTTGAAGTGGCATCCGGATAAGCACCAGGGGCCTTCTCAGGTATGCTTTTAAACAAATATTGGATTGTTTCAGGTTTTTTTGAAGTTTTTGTATTGATAAACTGTTTTCGGTAATGTGGTGGAAATTGCAGGCGGCAGCGCAAGAGAAATTTAAACTCTGCGTTGATGCATACAAGTCTCTCTGTTCTGCACTCGCTTGACGTTACACATAGGCATTGATGCACCATTTTAGTATTAGTTGATAAGGTTGCTTCTGAAACGATTTCGAGAGATCCACCGGTTTTTAGATGATGGGTTTGATTCATGAGAATCCACCAGCTACAAGATTGCACACCAATGTGTCTCTCATCCTTTTCCAACATTTGATAACAAAAACAAGATATGTGAAAGATTATGCTAGTGCCCATCTCTGAGCTGGTCATAAAACATTTTAATTTAAACACTGATGTAAAAGACAATAACTTAAAGCAATTTATTTTGTACACAACACTATTGAAGCAATTTATTTTGTACAAAAAAAAAAAAAAAATCAAGTATAACTTCTTTTATATTCTGTGTGTCCAAGCTAAAACTAGGCTTAGACAGCACATATCCAAACTCTAAATCTCTTACTCATATATCAATATGATTCCAAAACTTTCCAACATTCTTGTATTAGCAAACGTTGAAGTCACCTAACCAGAGAGCTCCAATTCAGATTTCATCGACTTCACACAGGTGGAATTGCAAAGGTTCCAACTACCGACCTGTGAATAGTCTCTGAGTCCAGCGTTGTTAGTATCTGTGGAATCGACATACCACCCGAGATGACAATTTCTGTGCCAAAAAATAAATAAAAGATTAAACGTAGCAATGAGATCGATTAGTTAAAGCACCAGGAACGTTTTAAGAGTTGCTAGACCAAGTAAAAAGTTACCTATGCCTTCCCGGACTGAGAGATTAGGTCTTATGATGTCCTTTGAGCTAATGAGGAAAATGTCTCCAAGATAAAGATGGTTAGTGGGAACATAGACACAACAGAGTTCTTCTCCACCAGCACGGCCTCGAAGAATCACAGTCGATGTAATGAAACCAAAAGCGTATTCTCCCATATGAGGATGTCTGATAATCGCTACCTCCTTGAATGCTCCTGAGCTTTGATCTGATAACAGGAGATTAACATAATTACTCTTTTTAGTACTTTTGTTGGTTAGTAAAACTAGAAGATTTATTTTACCTGGTGAGATTGCTCCGCTAATTTGCTTAGAAGCTGAGTAGATATAACTTACGAGAGGCATCTTCTTGATAAACCATTCTCCAATACTGAGAACTGAAGCTCCAAGCCATGAAGACATGAATACACCAACCATAAATATGAATGTGATGGATGTCACAAATCCAAGACCTGCAAATATTCTTCATTAGACATGAAGAAACACAAGCGTGTTTAATGTCAATGTAGCTAGAGAGATTAATAAATGAGACTAACCGAACATATTGATTCCGAGATGAGTATAGATCGGGGAGAAGAATCCGTCAACGAAATGTATAAACCACCATGTGAAGTAGAATGTGACGGCGATTGGAAGCAGAATGACACTGGAACAACAGTTTCAAAGCAGAAATGAGAGTACTAAACCCATCCTGAACTAGAAATTCATTCTCATCGACTAAAATTCTAGAAACTCAGAGATTTACCATCCGGTCATGAACTTTTTGGAGGCCCAGCTTCTAATGACTTTGTAAATCGCCTGTTTGTACATAAAACAGAGAATAACTTAACACACAAGTAACTTCAAACCTTAGGTCAAACTTGCAGAACATTTCACAATGTTGATCAAATTGTTTGATTCAAATGTGTAAAATTAGCGTATAAGGGAAATCCTCTGTAATCGTTGTTTCTATCGCGATTCATCGCCGTAGAGATTAAGAAATGAAAGAGAGAGAGAGAGACCTCTTTTCCGGCGACGTGAATCGGAGAAGCGAGAGGAGAAGGCGGAACAGACAAAACGACGTCGCGAGGAGAAGCTCCGGATTTATGCATCGGGATCAATCGTTCTAGATCTCTCTCCCTCGTTTCCATTTACCTAAATCTCAATACCGATCTCTCCAGATTCTCTCACAGAAGAAAATTGCTATTTCTCGTTCTCTCTGAATCGATTCGTCGATCTCCGATGTGTCTTCTTCTCCGGCGTGAGTGAGCAACGAACTACCTTAAGTTAAGAGCATCATGCATTTCTGCTGCTAATGCATACCGAAATATACCGCGGCTGCAACATTATGGGCTTTCTAAAGCCCATTTACTTATTAATGGGCCTCCTAAAGCCCGTTTCATATCATCCGATGTGGCGTTTCGTTATTATTACTGGTGGCACGTTGAGAACACAATTCTCGTTACCAGGTCTAGGGGTAATTTTGGAATTTCAATCAATAGTTTCAAATTCTTTATATCCAAATTGGCACGTTGAGAGACTTCAACGACATTTTCAAATTATTTTAGCCAACTACATAAAACAACTCTTCTTCCATTTTTTGGGTGAATCGTGACAGAGGAGAGAGATGTGGCGGTGCCTTCGAGTTGCATCGTGGAGGAGATCGGAATCTAATGGCGCTTTCATCACTACTCGACTCTCCAGATTCTTCTCAGCTCCTTCGGTACGAGAAATTGCTATCTACCACATTGTTTGAATCCTCGATTTCGTTTAGTTTTTCGCGTTTCTCATCATTTCATTTCATTAGTTGACTAATTTCTTGCTTTGCTCGGATTTAGTTGGTAAATGTTCGATTAGAACACAATTTTTGGTATGATTTTGCGTACTTGCGTTGTGAATGGGTTTGGTTTTGATTTGTTGTGTTCTTTGTGGAAAAAGACAGGGGATAGATCATCGTATACAATCGTAGATCATACGTATGATGCGGTTGTTGTAGGAGCTGGTGGTGCTGGGCTAAGAGCAGCAATAGGATTATCAGAACATGGTTTTAACACAGCTTGTATCACCAAGCTTTTTCCAACTCGTTCCCATACTGTTGCAGCTCAGGTACGTACCGACATATGCGGGTAATTAAGGTAGTATAAGCTTTTGATTTGTTGTTGATTAAGTTATGAATTTTTTTGTTGAAGGGAGGTATAAATGCTGCGTTGGGTAATATGAGTGAAGATGACTGGAGATGGCATATGTATGATACTGTCAAGGGAAGTGATTGGTTAGGTATATGCTGATGATTTTGTACTTAATAACTCAAAGCATTAGACAGTTTTTGGGCTTAACTCTTAAGATGTAACATGTTACTGTGAAATCTAACATGTATATGGTTTTCCTTCACTTATGTAGACACAAGTAAAAATTTACTTCTTTGATACTCTACTAGTTACTTAATTGTCTATGTTTCTATTTTCTTTTAAGTGTAATTTGTGTTTTTTTTTTTTTTTTTTTTTTTTTTTTGTATAGGTGATCAAGATGCAATTCAGTATATGTGCAGGGAAGCACCAAAAGCTGTGATTGAGCTTGAGAATTACGGATTGCCATTTTCTCGAACAGAAGAGGGAAAAATATATCAACGAGCTTTTGGTGGCCAGAGTCTTGATTTTGGAAAAGGTTTTAATCTTGATTTATGGAAATCTCAAGTTTGAAATTGTACTTATTTTATGTGGAAGATTGTTTGCTTGTAACCTTCTCATAATTATTTCTTTATCTCTGTGTTTTATTCAGGTGGTCAAGCATACCGTTGCGCATGTGCTGCTGACCGCACTGGACATGCTCTGTTACATACTCTGTATGGCCAAGCAATGAAACACAACACTCAATTCTTTGTGGAATACTTTGCCTTGGATTTGATAATGAACAGTGATGGTAAGTAGTATTTACTTAGTAATAAGATGGTGGATTAAGATTTTCTATGATCCATCATGTTGCATTATCAATAGTTCTATGTCTTTGCAAATTGATATCTATTATACAACTTCTAAATGCTTTTGGTATATATGATGAGCAGGAACCTGTCAAGGAGTCATTGCACTGAACATGGAAGATGGTACTTTACATCGTTTCCATGCTGGTTCTACGATATTGGCTACCGGGGTAAAGAGAATTTGTTGCTTGAAACGTATCTTTTTCTGGATTTGTGAAACTACACAGTAATGAATCATTATCTATAAATGAATTCAGGGCTATGGGAGAGCTTATTTTTCTGCAACTTCAGCACATACGTGCACAGGAGATGGAAATGCTATGGTTGCACGAGCCGGGCTACCGCTGCAGGATTTGGAGTTTGTTCAGTTTCATCCTACTGGTATATATGGAGCCGGATGTCTCATCACTGAAGGTATAGATGTGTTTCTTGCTGCATTGCTCAAACCATTGAGATTTAGCCAAAAGATATTGGTTCTTAACTTTTTCAAGTTTGTAAATGTAGGAGCTAGAGGTGAAGGAGGAATTCTCAGAAACAGTGAAGGTGAGAAATTCATGGACCGGTATGCTCCCACGGCTAGAGATCTTGCTTCAAGAGATGTCGTTTCAAGATCGATGACTATGGAAATCCGAGAAGGCCGTGGTGCAGGTAAAATTTACCACTCCTTTGAGACTCATTTATAAGAAATTAGCTTGAGCATATGCAACTTTGTTCTTTAACAGGACCTATGAAGGATCACATATACCTTCACTTAAACCATCTACCACCAGAAGTGCTTAAAGAGAGGCTTCCTGGTATATCTGAAACTGCGGCTATTTTCGCGGGTGTCGATGTTACAAGAGAGCCAATTCCTGTATTGCCTACTGTGCATTATAATATGGGTGGTATTCCCACAAACTACCATGGAGAGGTAAACCAAACGATTTTAATTAGTGTTAGAACAAATGGATATGTTCAGTTTTTTAAAGTGTTTTGGTGCATTGATGTGAGTCTCAGGTGGTTACTGTTAGAGGTGATGATCCAAATGCTATAGTTCCGGGACTAATGGCTGCAGGAGAAGCAGCTTGTGCATCTGTTCATGGTGCTAATAGACTTGGTGCAAATTCACTTCTTGACATTGTTGTTTTTGGAAGAGCTTGTGCAAACAGAGTTGCAGAGATTCAAAAACCAGGTAAGCAACATATCTATATGCCTAACTATGCTTCTTGATGCAAGGATCTCTGAAAGATCTCTGCTTTACCGTGTTTGATTAGGCGAGAAACTGAAACCTCTAGAGAAGGATGCGGGTGCGAAGAGTATCAAATGGTTGGACCGAATAAGAAACTCAAATGGGTCGCTACCGACTTCTAAAATCCGCTTAAACATGCAAAGAGTAATGCAAAACAATGCTGCTGTCTTTCGTACACAAGAAACACTAGAGGAAGGTAAACAACAGTGAAACTCATACCTTATGATAAGATCTCAAGCAGTGTTTAAGTGAATTTAATGTAAAAGGTTATGATTATAGGTTGTGATTTGATCGATAAGACGTGGGACAGTTTTGGTGATGTCAAAGTAACGGATCGGAGTATGATATGGTGAGACTTGAAAACGTTATAAACTGTCTTTAGGCTAATTACTTAAGTTCTGTAACTGGAAACATTTCATTTTAGGAACTCTGATTTGATAGAAACTATGGAGTTAGAGAATCTTTTGGTTAATGCGTGCATAACAATGCATTCTGCTGAGGCTAGGAAGGAAAGTCGAGGAGCACATGCTCGTGAGGATTTCACGGTTAGTTCTATGTTCGTTACATAACAAAAGTTGTCTTAGTGGAAATGTGGATAACGAAAAGAGACTTTGGTATGGTTGTTTTTGCAGAAACGAGACGATGCAAATTGGATGAAGCACACATTGGGGTAAAAGTTTCTCTTTTGGAGTCTTTAGGCCATAATAGATTTAATCATACACTCAAAAGTATATTCATATTTCATAGTTAAAAGTAAAATTGTTAGTAACTGCTTTAGCAATCGAGAAATGTAACTAATGGTTGTGTGTTTTATATATATATATATATATATATGTTGAAAGGTATTGGGAAGAAGGGAATGTGAAATTGGAGTATAGACCAGTGCATATGAATACATTGGATGATGAGGTTGACACTTTTCCTCCTAAACCTCGTGTTTATTGAGATTTCTTTTTTCCCAAGAGCTTGTGGTGAGCTCGAATTCACTTTTCTCTATAATAATCAAATGTATTTAAATTTATCTTCCCTCCTCCCATTAATAATTAACTGTTATAGGATTAGAGAGAAGTGAAATATTTCTTTAAGAAAAAAAGAAGAAGAAATGTTTATTTCTGAAAAATCAAAAGAGTGTGGGATTATGTTGTTATTGTTCTCATTTGTTTCCAGAGGCTATACGTACTATTACTTGACCTATCACAGACTTTATACTGTATTTATACAATGTGTTACACTATTCATAAACTTTTGGAAAATAATGAAATTTTGGTTGTCTTTTACGTTGTTTTCTGTAATATTGTTGATGGGACCAAAACGTTTTTGAGGAATTTGAGAATATAGCACTCACTTTTTTAGCTTGCTTTGAGGCATATGTAATTTTGGAAGGAGTCTTTTTCAGCAAACAAATTTTAATGTGCAAATATCCTCATACCCTCATTTGTCTATATGTCCCTCTCATTTACCTTGCTCACATGCACCTTTCTTATTGCCTTCTCTATGTCATTAGATTAATCATAAACTCGAAGTACATGTTTCATAGTTAAAAACTTAAAATGAGTTCCAAGATTTTTTCTTTGGGAAGAGAACCTCAAACAATACCCTCCGATCCGACGGGACTTTCATTTTAACATAATTACATTTTTTACTCCGTCATCCCGCTTTTGGGTACTGAAAAATAAGCAGGGCCGTACCTGAGCACAGCGAGGTGAAGCTGTTGTTTTGGGCTCCCAAAATTTTAGATATTTATTATTTATAAAATAGGTCCCCAAATATATTTTATCTTTGTAAAAAGGCTTCAAATTTTAGAAAGTACTATAAAATCCTTAAAACTTTTTTAGGCCCCCAAGATTTTAGGGCCGGCCCTGAGTATAAGGTACTAACTACTGAAAGTAAATTTCATACAAGTACATAAGAATCGTATCATGACATGTGAGTTTTGAACCTAAAGCATTTTTACATCTAATGAGAGGATGGTAAGCAATGGGATATACTGGAGCAAACACTCCACCGTAATCTGATTCTCAGTCAAAAAGGCCACAATATTATACAGCCCAATTAATATCTGTAGCCCATGAAGCCCAAAAAGTCGCAGAAAATTAAGTGGATTATTTTGACATATCACCATATTTAATTTCTTTCTATTTTTTTCATAAAGCAGACCGCCTAGCTTTAAATGAATAATGACCCGAAAGGCACGCAATGTCCCACGCGTTCGAATCTGAACCGTTGATGATCTTATCTAACCGTTTAATCTCGACCGTCCATTCTCCAAACCCTATATATAAGAGATGAATCGATCTTAGGGTTATCTCATCACCGCCTCCATATTCTTACGCGTCTTCTTCTTCCTCCCTCTTTCGTCAACGTTTTCTTTAGATCTAGCTTCTATGGCTACGAGTCTGATCCTTCTCGCTTCTAATTCCCGTAGAGATCCTCCCAATCTACAAAACCGTACCGTATTCTCAACGGTTTCGTAGATCTGATCGGTGATTCCATGGTTGACGACGGATCTCTGCCTTACATCGTCAGATCTGGCTTTTTCTATAGGTAAAAACTTACCTCCTTGTACCGAGAGATTCTCTTATGTTCGTTTCTAGAATTTTGGTTACATAATCGCGAATATTGTTCTTGATCTAGCCTTGGATCGTCCTTTGCGGCTTCTTCAGATGCGAGATTCTTTGAATTGATCGGTGCGGCGTCCGATTCTGGATACAAGGAGGCCAATCTGTTGCAGACGGATCTGTGTATGTTGGATTGAAGTGAGATTAGGGTGTAGAAGATGTTTTGTTGGATAGCTAATGGCTTCCTGATTGCATCTTTTGTCATCCGACCTTTGCCATGTCAGGTGCGCTTGCATGGCAGGTCAAAAAACTGATCCTCAATAAAAAAAAAAGATTTTGTGGGTTTTGGAGAGGAGATCGCACGGGTTATTTGTTTTTCCCGGGATCTCTTCTCCTATGTGTGTCTTGCTTCTGCTCCCTCTCTCCCTTCCCTATCTCCCTTTACAGTTATTGCTCATATATACTTAAAAATCGATCATAAGCAGAGCTAGTGACTAATCTGGAGCCGTGGGCGATAACAAATCTTCTTGCCCGACAAATCGAGAGTCAAATCAGGCAGGTACTCATATACTTACTAAATTGAAATCTCAATAATCAGCATTCTCAAGAGTAATTCCGGTTCTGAATTATAAATATGGTTTGCACTCTTTTAATTATGGTAATCCGGCTTCACAATGTTATCGTTTTATCAACTCAGAAAATTTCTTTTTTGTTGTAATTGCGGATATTTAATACATTTAACGATCAGTATTATAAATTGAATTATATAGTATAAGTGGATTTTGTATTTGTAGTGTATTTTATTAGTTCATGTATGATTTAGCTTTTTAGAATGTGCGAAAAGGACATTTGTATTGCTCTAGATTGAATATCTGTAACCACCGGTCCCTGTAGAAAGTATGAAGCTCCGGTAGATTATGGGATTGGAGTAGTGGGCATCAAGTAATTTCAACAAGCTGACGTTGCCTTTTTCTGAAAGGTATCTCGATCAAAGAATAGTATATGCTTGTGTACTAAGCCAATAATTGCGGTTATTCCCAAGTTTATTACATTTGAATTTTTGGGTATTTTATTATTTGTCATGTGGAGGGATAATTCATTACATAAACTATTTATCTATTTAATAATTGTTGCAATCAAGTTGGGTATTTTATTTTTAGTTATGAGATCGCGTGGTCTATTGATAACGTCATTTAGTAATACGCTTGGTAACCTCCATAAATAATTCGTTAACATCTTTAATGAAGTTCAATTGGATAACCTTGATCAAAAATTGGAAATTCTTCTAAGGTTTGCTGTCATTGGAAGATTGGTTAAGTGTAGTAAAAGTGTTTAGAGTCAATGTTGGGCCTGTGGGCCGGTTTGGAAGAATGGTTATTATTATAGATCTGTAAGCTCAAAATGGTAGAGCGCTCGTATACTTCTGGTGGACGAGAGGTTGGTGGTTCGAATCCACCCAGTTCTTGACATTCTTGTTTATGTATTTTCTTGGATAATCCAAGGTAATTCCTCTTTTGAAATGTGGATAGTATTTAATTTCTTCTATTCACTTGCCTTTCCACCGACAGTTCTCCTATTAAGGTCGTTTTTCGTTTTTTGTTTTGGATTAATTTTCAAAGAGCAGAAACATTTTCTTCTTCATTTGTTTCAATATCCCCCTACTTGCAACAACGATGGTTTATTGCACTTTGTGATCCATAGGATTGTCCCACACTGACCTGTAGAAGATGTACTATTGGCTTAACGTGTTGTTGCTGTTGCTAGAAGTGTTGAACTGTTGATGATGCAAGTGAGTAACGGGGGATTTTAAGAGATAGAGATGATGGGAGTTTCTGATACATGAAGTCGATTTCTTTTGACAGTAAGAGTCCAGATTATTAACTTTTTAAACGTAATTTCATGTACTATCTTTCTTAATTTTAATGGTCTTGTTGGTAACTTTACATATTCTATTGAGCAATCATCACGTTACAAATGGCTATGTCACTCATAAAAGAATCCACCATAAATTTCTATCAGTTCTACGCTATACTTCATTAGTCCACTACAATTCTGTCGTCACCATTTAATGCCATTGCCTAACTCTTCCATGAGTCAAAGAAAAACAACTCTTTTTTTTTGTTCTCTTCGATCAGACCAAAACCAAACCGATTCTTAAATCAACAAGTACAACTTGGATAAACACTAACAAAGATCGAAGAGTTGCACATAACGTATAACATTCTCTTGCTTGCCTTTTATTTCCATATAAATTAATAAAAATTACTCGTACAAAGTAGTATTAACGAAACTGCAAATCAAACATCGACATTGTTTTTAAGGACACTTTCGGCGACCACCGTGGGTGGTGAGGTTAGCATAGCACGGGCACTTGTCGTAGTTTCCGTATGTGCCCGGTGGCACGCAGTTGCACCTAGCGCAGCAAGTCTCGCACGCTCTGTGACAAAGATTCGGCCTACTCGAGAGACTGCACCGTTCTTGGCACCTACTCTTGCAATCTACAAATACATCATACAATTTCAAAATTTTAATAAATACACGTATGTATAAAATATATACAACGTGTATATATGATAGATATCATGTAATTACCGATTTTAGGGGCGTTATCCGACGTCTGCATGAATATTTTGAAAAATATTATTAGAACAAGGACAAAAATAGTGAAAATATAATCAAATAAGAAATATATTGGCTGTTAAATTGTACCACCATATCGGCATGGACGAAGTCGAGGACAAGAAGAGATATGAGAAGAGAAGCAAGCAGGACTCTGAATACAGCCATAACTAATCCTTTGATCAGAGAAAATAAAAGAGGAGACAAAATGACAAATGAATGTTTTTGGTTGTTGTTGTAAATAAAGGCGTAGAATATGGGGCTTCTATTTATAAATAGTTTTAATTTAATATTAGTCACTAATAAGTGACAAAAAAAGAATAAAAACTATAAGAACTATGGTCAAAATGGTATCATTGTTTCTTATCAATTTTTTTGTTTGGTCAACACGTTAGGTTGTATGTAAACCAATATTTCTTTATCCATTTGTGAAATCAAATTTTTTTTAAGGATTTAACATTCATTTCCTAAATTAAATAATATGACTTAACAAGATCATTTTCAAATAAATTTCAGTCTTACTTTCTTTTGTTGGTCAATTCAGATGTATCTAAAGTCTAAACCAACTTCAGATTTGTTTCGGTTTTTAGATTTGATCTTTTTACTAATTTGATCTGTCCATTTTAGTTTTTTTTTGTTGGTCTTATCCTTCTTATTCAGTTACCCATTGAAAGAGCAACTCCAAGTCTCCAACCAACCACAGCACCAAATTTGATATGTCCCATTTTTTTTCATCTCTAACCACAACACTAAATTTTACACTAAAAAAAAAAAAGTAATATCTATTATTATATTATTAAATTTAAGATTCTTTATTTTTTAATATTTTTGATAAATACATTATGTTTTCAGTGTTTAATTGAACTTTAGTATGTATCTTTAATCTTAATTAATTTGATATTTATTTAAATATCTTGTACAAATTAATATCTTATATTAACTATAATTATTCATATTATTAAAAGTGAAAACATACAAAAATTTTGATGGTATATTTGTTTTCTAGTTGGTAAATAACAATTAAATTATCTTACTTAAAACAAAGTACAAATAAAATAAAATATTTTTTTGGTGTTTTATGAACAGTTCCATTGGAGCAAGATTAACACCAAAATGGTGTTTTGGTGTTGGAGAAGCCCTTAGGTATGCCCAAGATAAAGCTAATATATATGTTGTATCCAAAAATAAAACTGAGGAAGCTCTTTCTTCATAGTTTCTAAGGGCTTGATTGGTTATCCCGCTAGCACCCTCCTAGCGGTTGCTAGCGGTCGGTTGCGGTTGTTAGCGGTTGGTACCAATCATAGAAACCGCTCCGTCATGCTTCGAACCGCTCGAAATCGCTGAATTTCAAAAGCTCCTTCCCACAAGCGTTTGCGGTTGCGGGCGGTAGCGGTTGGATTAAAAAAAAAAAATTAAACATTTACTTATAATTATTATAATATATATTAATTCTATATATATCTTTAATCTTTGTATCACTTTGTATCACGTTCTCATCAGAAATCCTAATAATATTCTGAAACTCTATTCTCTCAATGTTTTCCATCCAAACTGATGAAAATTAATAACCAAATGTAAGTATCATATATCCTTTTATTCATTCATCACCTCATGTGTAACTTTTTGAATATTTTTCATGGCATCGTTTTTTTTATTTTCATTACGTATTGCTTAGCTTTTTGATTGAATATATGTTTCGATTTGTTTTCTCGAATAGAAACTCACTTGCTTTTTGATTGAATTCAACGTTATTTACAGTTTTTCCCATTACTTGATGCAATTTTTGATGTTAAACCAGATGCATAAAGTACTATCTTGTTACAAAATTTCTTTATTTTTGAATAATTATTTAGTACTTTATTTATGGTTTTAATTATTAAGCATGTTCAATTTTTCTAATATTATCATCATAATATATTGGTGTTTTTATTTCTTTTTTTTTGAAATATTTTTTATTTATTTTGGTCATTTTTTTATTTAACTGCTATCGCACCCGCTGATTTACCAGTCATAAAACTCCCGCAAACGCACTAATTTTCAAACGCTAAACCAGTCGTTCAAAACGCTTAATAACGCTTAAAGCCGCAACCGCCCGCTTCCGCAAACTCCCGCAACCGCAACCGCAACCACTGCGTTTAAACCAGTCAGGCCCTAATATGTGTTGATGATCATTATACAGCAACAAACACAATAAACAATTCAAAAATAATAGAAGATGAGATCATTACTGTAACAACTGTAACTGTAATACACATCTAATAACCAACAAAATCTTCTATTTAGTGTACAAATTTAGATAAATCTAACTAAGATCCCAACAATTGCCAAAACACAAACTGGAGCTATTATCTGGTCTTACGGTCTTACAAGTGTAAATTAAGAACCTTAAATGTCCAAATCATCATCAGGATCTTCATCAGAATCAGGATGCTCATCGTCTGAATCTCTGAAATATATAATCTCACCACCCTTACCCGATGAAACCACATCGGTCTGCAACTCCATTGAAGACAATGGTGTTGTTTCAATCTTGCCATCCACAAGAGATCTCCGCCCATCATAGATCTCGTTCGATTTTCCATCATCTGAAGAACAGAACCGTATCAAAAATGTTTGATCCACAATCTCAGACATTAACGAGCTTAAAATTCTATGGTTTTACTCTATGTACACTCACCTTGGTGCTCAAAAGGAAGCACAACTTTTTCTTTCTCGACCCGTTCTTTCTCAGACAACGTTAGATTGAAATGAACCTGAACCAAAAGAAACAATCACCTTAGGCCATACAACTTAAAAACAAGAGATCACATTATAGCAAGAGAGACAGACCAAGAAATAAAGAAGCAGAACTAGATAACTTGCCTTAGGCAAAAGGCTTTTAGTGGTTACAATAACAGTATCCGTGGAGGAAATGGGTGAAAAGACTATTCCTGATTGATCAACATGATATTCTTCAGACTGTAGGTAAAGAGTTACAAGAGTGTTAACTAAATGAGAATGATAAGGGATACAGAACAGAGCAAGAGGGAACTCACCATTACTCTTACACGTCCCTTTCTAAGCTTAAACCGGACATGAAACCGTCCCTTACCGAAATCCTGATGAACCAAAAAGAGGTTTTCTAAAGCATTCCTTTGCCCATCTGAAGATGGACACAAAGGTTCTAAGTTGGCTTTCATCGTGGATATATATTCAAGCGCATTTGTGACCTTCTCTTGGTGAAGGTCAGTGTTCAATGACCAAAAGACACTGGTAATTTGCGCTGCACCAAAAAGTTCAAACCTCTGTTGTTAAGCCTTACGAAGAAATAAAACTAATAAACTAGAGCTCAGGTTCATGTTGCAAACTACCGTGGCTTCGAAGATCTGTTAAAAGACCAGAAACTAATGGCATGGATGAATGTCTTAGCAGCTCATTCACCTGATTAAGAGTTTAGATATATAATCACTTCTCTTTTCGAATAGTTGATGTCTACAAAACTCAAAAACAAAACATTTGCTTACCGAATCTATGGCAACACAGAAATGTGTCTTTCCGGCTCCAACCAACTCTGCAGCAAAGTAATCACTTTTAATCTCATATAATCCTTTAGATAAAGATCAAACTGAATAAGGATGCAATGCAAAAGAACTACCTCTTCCTGCTTCAATGACTGTAGAAAAAAGCTTTCTCAAGTCACTCACACACTTGTGTAACTTAATCAAACTTGAACCTTCACTAAAACCACTTGAAGGTTCATGAATCCATCCCAATGGATCAGTGTAACAATCCAAAATACGAATCCTTCAAATCAAATACCAATTGGTATCAAATACAAAGAAGATCACTCAAACTACTCCACAAGATCTAATAATCAAAAATCACCATTTAGAAGATGAAGAGACAACGATTCCTCTTTGCTTCAACAATTGTAAATAGAACGAAGGGCTCCGCGAGAATGTGATCAACACGAGACCTCTGAATCACAAAGTGGGAAAAAAACGAATACTTTACAGGTGATGAAGTGATTTGAGATCGAATATAGTAGAATTAGGGTTTAAGAGTTTACTGCGACTTGGATTTTCCAGCTAAAATTGAAGACGATAGATTTGTGAGAAGGTAGCCGGAGACATCGATTCCAAAAGGTGAAGCTACAGTTTCTTCTATAGTGAGAGCTGGTGCGAGTTCGCCTTCTTCGCCACCATCTCTTAACTTTCTGAAAATCGATTCCGCCATTGTCGAGTGATTCTAGAGCTCTCCGGTCAAAAGAGCGGCGAGGAAACAAACAAAAACATAGAAAAGTTAAAAAGGTTTTATTGGGCTTTACGAAGTAGCCCAATGGGCTTTGTTCAAAGAAACACTCAAGGATTAAACAACAGCGTGTCGTTTTTCCATGGCTAAAAACGTCAACCATTCTCAAATAAACGTCAACCATTTGGAAAGGTTGTTTGGGCTTTATGAAGTAGCCCAATGGGCTTTTCTCGAAGAAACCATCAAGAGAAAAAAACATCGTGTCGTTTCTTCAATGGTAAAAACGTCAACCATTTTGTATGCTTTCTCGAAGAATCGAAATTAAAGAGAAGGAGAGAAGGTTTTAGGCCGGAGTTGGGGACTGATCTGGATCCGCCGGCGAAAAACCAGAACCGTCACATTCGTCGCCGGTAATTAAGAAAGGTATCTATTTTTCTTCTATGTCTTCTCTCATTCACTATCTTCTTATTCTCTTTTCGCTATTTCGATGAATCACTTAGAAATGGTATCGAACATTTTTGTTTGTTTGTGTTTTTCTTTCTCATTTTGGCGATGTTCATAGTCCAGAAGTCGCTGTGTTCTTGAAATTGGAGTTAATTGCAGTTTTTATTTTCGTTTTTTATTGTTCTTGAAATATTGCACGGAAAGTGTTCGACGTATTTCCTGTGTTAGCTCATCGCTTGTTTTCACGTCTCTGAGATAGTTTGCAATGAAACAAATGGCAAAAAGAATACTTTTTTCGAACCATGGTTGGTCAATTTTCAGATATTTCCTTGTGTGATTTGAGTAGGTAGAGAGACAAAATCTGCTGCCTTCAGATTTCGATTAAGCATCTTTTTGTATTTTAAATGGCTTTAGGAGAAATAGAAATGGAAGCCAAGTTTTTTCGATTCTTGAAGATTGTTGGAGTTGGATACAAAGCTAGAGCTGAGGAAGCAGGACGTTTCTTATACCTCAAATTGGGTTACAGTCACGAAGTCGAGCTTGCAGTTCCTCCAGCGGTTCGAGTCTTTTGTTTCAAGAACAATGTGGTTTGCTGCACCGGAATCGACAAGCAGAGGGTGCATCAGTTTGCTGCAACAGTAAGGAGTTGCAAACCTCCTGAACCTTATAAGGGCAAAGGCATAATGTACATTGACGAAGTCGTCAAGAAGAAACAAGGAAAGAAGTCGAAATGATCTCGCTCTCTCTCTTTTTGTATGCTTCTTCCTTCTTACTTTGCAGACAACTTTGATCCTTTTGTGATAGATTTTGATTGGATTTGCTTATCAATAAGATATATTTGGATGTATGAAACATCATTTTGTTGTTAAGTCTCTTTCAATTAAACAAAATGAGAAGAGTTTGTCTTAAAAACTTAAGATATATATTGTCTAATCATCGTTACAATAGAACTGAGAGAAAAGCTTATAGCCAATACAAAGTCACTCGAGCAGCATCTTTACGCTGCAAACAGTCGAGAATATAACAAGCCATTGCACAATGCAGTAATCGATTAGTCAAGCATGTAAATTCTGGAGGCAATGTCTTGAACCAACCAATCGAATCCTTCCAACAAACCTTGACCCGTGTATGCGCTGCAACCCACGATTTTCCAGTGGCGGCTTTTATCCATGGACTCTAAGTTTAGCACCTTCATAAGCAAGAAGATGAAACTCAGTTTAACACACAATGTACAACTCAAACATATCTTACTTAACCCACTAATCTTCACTAAAGTTGAGCAAGAAAACCCTTTTCCGACTGAGAGATAAAGATTCAACCCGATAAACCCGACTTCCAAATCGTCATAAAAGTTTCAAAAACCCTTACTTTGCCAATTTCATCAGGAGTAAGTGCACCTTGAATATCCTGCTTATTTGCTAGTAGCAGCAAAGATGACCCAGCTAGCCTCTGCCATTAAAACCAACATTGAATATGAATCATCTTCTCCATCACACAGCAACCAAGCTTCATATAGAAATAAAGACATTTATGAATAATACCTCTTCCTTCAAGAGATTGTCAAGTTCCATCTTACAATCATCTAACCTCCTAAGATCAGAACTATCAACCACCCATACCAAACCATCAGTCTGCTCAAAGTAATTCCTCCAATACGATCTTATAGTCTTTTGCCCACCAACATCCCATATATTTAGCGTATACCTACACACCATTATTCACCACAAGCTCATCATTGCCTATAACCTGTTCGATGAAATTCCTCAACCAATTTTGAAGAACACGAGACTACAAGAGTATGAAGAGCAGAGAAAAAGAGCTTTACTTTTGGTAAACAATGGTTTTGATGTTGAATCCAAGAGTTGGACTAATCACACTTGTGTCTTCTCCGTTTATCTTCAGAACAATCGTCGTCTTCCCAGAATTATCAAGTCCACTACAACAAACGAAAAACCACCAAAATCAGCACATCATCATAATGTATGATTAGATCGGAGAAGATTTACAAGTTTTGGAGTCTGACATACACCATAAGAATTCGCATCTCCTTCTCTTTCTTCTTGATCTTCCGGATTATGCTTAACAGTCCCATTTTCCACACAACAGAGCTTCTAAGCGAGACTTCAAAGTATTGAAAATCGAATCGAGATTGAATATCTGATTTAGGAAATGGTTTTACTGATTACGCGGTGGTTTTTGTAACCGACGACGACGGAGATGGCGGCTTTAGAGGATGCGATTTCGAACGGAGAAGACAATTCGACGGCGATAATGGACCAAACATTTTGACAGAAATTGCAATGAACTATATGATGGGCTTTGTATAATAAACAGTTAAAGCCCATGTACCATAAGTATGGGCCTTGTTCTCATGGATTAGAGGCTTTTTCTTTAATAATTGGGGTAGATATTAGACTAATCTCAGTAGTCTTGAAATTTCTTTTATTTAAGGTATCTACAATATTAATAGTAAAAAAACAAATCACAGTGATTGTACAATTTGATCTTTTTTTTTTTTTTTTTTTTAACTTTAAATTTCCATTAATTACAATTTGATCTTTGGTCTAAACAAACTACATATTCATAATTACAGATGACTGATTTGGTTGAAATTCTTAATTTCTTTAAGCCAAAGACCATAAGAGCATCCACATTGGACAATATTAGTGGTGTCCTAAAAATAAAAAAATAAAACAAATTAAGAAAAAAAAGCTTGAAACAGTGTAGACACGGGTCTGAGAGCAGACATTTTCCTAAGCTAAAGACACGATACATGTTAAAATACTATTATTTATATTATTAATTAATCCTTAAAACACCTTTCAAACTCTATGCAATAAAGGAGACCCTTCCCAAGCTATCCATAACCACGAGACAAATTTTCTCAATCTTCCAAATTATTTTGTTTAGAATCACTTGGTCACATAGTGTTATATACAAATTTCGTAGATGGTGAATTTCGTTCTCTAGCTTTGAGTAATTTTTTTTTTTGAATAGTTAGGATTTAGGAATTTCTGGATCTAAACTTGTACATCCTCTCATACGAGGAATCAACCAGAATATTTTATAAGGTCTCTTCCCAAGCACTTTGAGTAATTTTGTAGACGGTGAAAATCGTTCTCTGGCTTTGAATCTCGTAGAAATACTTTTATACATCAAACAACTGTTAACATGTAACACTCATCGTTGCAGATTACAAATTAGGGTTGAATCACACTTTCCGGATTAGAGGTTGGTTTCTCTTGTAATTAAGGTTAAATCGCCTCTAAACATATATAGGTTTTTTTTTTTTTTTGACAACAAACATATATACTATATAAGTATATAGGTTTAAAAAACGAGAAGTAGAACATACACCTGAAGAGGATAAGTGGACCATACGTTATCTAGAAAGTCAAACGGTCAAACTCGAGAATGAAAACGTTATTAAGAAACAAAGAAAAAGAAACACTAATCGGATCTTGATCCTTTTGAGGGATGTTTTGTTCTTTTTCTTTTTTGTTGGTTTGCTGTCATTCTCTTTGTTTTATTCTTCCTCTTCTTTGAGTGTTGGAGACGGACCGTATCATAATACAGTCCGTACGGATCCAAAATGCTAAAGTTAACGTGGTTAAATCAAATAACCATCGATCGGTAGTTATATATATTTTTTAAAAAACATACAAAATCGGTAATTGGATCACCTATCTAATCGTTTTGCATGCATGCATCTTTAATATCTACGTATCAAATTAATTTCTCGCCTTAAAATATAGTAAGAATTTTTATTATTAAAACTTTTTTTCTACATTGTTTGTTTGTGTTTATTTTGCATTTAACATGTATTTTTTTGGATAAACTTCCAATTTTATTATGCGAAACAAATTCTGTTTACTAATTATAAGCGCAAATGTCAAATACAAATGAACCTTTGAAATTTATTTTTATTTTGCAAAAATATTTTGTAAGAAAGTGAAAATATATTACATATTTTAAAATCTGATTATCATTTTTTCACTGGTAAACGCAAATACAAAATTAACGTTTGAAATTTTCCAGACCAATATGATTGGTGTGTATGATATCACGTATTTTAATCACAAGTCAGGTTCACCGTGGTTGATAACTTTTCTTTTTCTTCGGAAAACATTTGCAGTTAGTTGATAACTTCTGTGTTTGTGCTTAGTACATGGATTTATTTAATTTAAATTGTATATTTATATTTGAATATATAGTCATATGCTTCAACCAATATTGTCTCGTATGTAAAGAAACACTAATTAATATATGTAGATTAAATGCCAAAGCCGAACACTTAGTGTCTTGGGGTAATCATTTTTTCAGTTTCTTGTTCCATGAAACAAAGTGCATGTGTTCTTTAATTAAAAGCGGCAGTCTTCTCAGTTAAACAAAGAGATCACCAATCGCAACCCCGATTTGATTCTCTATGTTTGCTTAAAGCCTGACTCTAATTTCTCTCTTTAGGTTTGTTGAATCTTCAATATTCTTTGAATCTTTATTTGATCATACTATTTTCTGACTAAAGTATAATTCCATTTCATAAGAAAATAAGAAATGGACTAAAGTATTCTTCGATCAAACTGAATCACAATCTTAAATTGTTTTCAAAATTTCCCTTACTAGTTAGTACGTATCAAGTACTCAGATAAATCTTCGTGACTGGTTTTTGTATAACATTCCATTTACGGCATTTACTGTGACCAGCTATAATTTATATTATCGTGGCATAACTCGAAATTTGGTCTCTAACTTTAGAATGAGTCCTTTAATCATTGGTACGGTCCTTCCAGTGCCGGTCCGAGCATTTGTGAGGCCCTACACGAAAAATAAAATAATGCCCAATATATTTATAAGTTTTAGGGCTAATTTTTTTTTTTTTGACCTATTTTTAGTAAATTATACAAAAATAATGATATTTTGAATATTATTACATTCAAATTTAATTGTTTGGGCCCTATTTTATTTATTTTTTTCGAAAAAAGCTTTAGTTTTGACTAAATATTTTCATTTTATGGGCCTTTTTACCAAAAAAAAAAAAAAAATGTGTGGTGCCCCAAGCCACCGCTTGGGTGGCCTGTCCTGCGGGCCGGCCCTGGGTCCTTCAACCAAAAATGCATACTTCGTTAGAAAAACTAGTTAAGAGATCACCTTATATGTTAAGCCAACTTGCTTTCGAGTTAAGATTTTCTAAGACTTGATATTTACTATTATTCTTGTCTTGGCAAAACATCATCTACTTTAGGAGAGGAACGAACTAAGTATATAACCCAAAATTGGGAAAAGAAGAAAAAAGAAAAAGAAGTAGCAATTGAGTGTTTGGTGTAATATATCCAGTTGAGATTATTCGCTTTTGTACTTTTTTTGCTTTTAAAAATATTTTGGAGTTGGAGTTTGCTTCTTTGACTGATCAATTGAATCTCTCGCTCCCCAAGCCAAAGAAAGAACACAAGATGTTGCTTTTGATCATTGCCAAGAATCTCACTTCGCAATTCCCTTTACCTTTACCCTTTTTTTTTTAATTTTCCTTCTTAGCTTAAACAGTACTATTTCATCTTAATTCTACCATCTTTTAAAGCATAATAATAATAATAATAATTAATTCTACTATCTTAAGTTTATAACATATAAAATTTCATTATATTTTAAATGTTCAAGAAGCTTCAATATTAGATCTACTGTTTTTAAATTCCATGGTCCAATAGTAGTAGGGACTGAGAGCTAGCACTTCCATCGGTGGGATGGAGCAGGGTTTCTGACAAAAATTTATTAATAAAAAAGAAAACAAATAAAGAGAGAGACACAGTTTCTCAACAGAGAAATTCTGAGAAACGTGTCTACATACGTGTCATAAATTTATTGGTTTAATTATTAATAATAAAATAAAAATAAAAAAATTTAATTAAATAGATTTTTTTTTTTTTTGAGAAACTTTCATCGTGTCAACGGATGGAGATGCTCTAACCTTGTTCTAAAACGACAATAACTAAAGACTTCTCTAAATTTGATTATTGAAAGTATGTAAGCATGGTAGTTCCACATTATTGTTCTCTACTCAAATTCCCAGTACTAAAATTATTTAGCTCTTTATATTTGAGTCGGAGGATGTTTTGAATAATAATACTTATATGAGTTAAAGGGGCTTGCCGGCTTGGTAATGGGAGAGTCGGAGAGAGACAAGATCCTTAGAAGACCGTGACATTGTCACTCACGTGGGCCTCTTTTGACCAACCCCATTCCGACACTAAAACTGCAGATATCCAACACTTATCATTATTACTTATTTATTGGCACTAAAAAATATTATTTCATTAGAACTTTTAAGTTCATCAACACATATAATAAAATGCCAAATCTACTATATTTTTCTTAAGAATGTTAAACTACCTTTCATAGTGTGCTTTTATGCACTTTTATTTGAAACAAACATGAAAAGGAAACTACTCATTTCATGTATAACTTGGAAAACTTGTTTTCAAGATATGCAATAAAATTGAAACGACGACTCGGAGAAAAACTATAGTTTTCTAAGGCGAGGATTAGTAAAAATATGATGAATTTAAATTTGGATGTAACAACTGAAATAAATAGCAAACTATATACTCTTGGTTGAGGTCAGTGTGGAATTGTTGCGAGGACATAATTCGCCAACGAAGTCTTATTGCTTACTGTAACATAAAATCGGCGTCGAAAATAGAATCTAGAATACTTTGTCTTCCATACCAAGAAACTCCGATAAAAATAATATTCAATGATTTATAAAGCTCTGGAGAATATTCATTGTCGAATTGTTGCTTTCTTAATTTCTTTAGATAAAGTAACAAATAATGTAATATGCACTACATTAATAGATTCGATCACATATAGCTACCACAGACCAAATTCACTTTTGTCGTTACTTAAGTTTCCAACTCTCTATATATACGTACCCATGTCTTAATTTGTAACTTGTAACTTAACTCACAAAGGCACCAAAACAACACACATATTGCTCTCTCTTTTTTCTCTCTATATATTTAGTCTTCAATTTCATGATGGGATACCAAACAAACCCTAATTTCTCCATGTTTTTTTCCTCGGAAAATGACGACCAAAACCACCACAATTACGATCCTTATAATACTTTCTCTTCATCACCTTCTGTTGATTGCACTCTCTCACTTGGAACACCCTCCACTCGTCTCGACGACCACCGTAAATTTTCTTCTGCTAATTCTAACAACACCTCCGGCGACTTCTACTTTCACGGAGGAAACGCCAAGACTACGTCGTACAAGAAGGGTGGTAATGATCATAGCCTACCTCGCCGTTGTGCTAGCTGCGACACCACTTCAACTCCTCTATGGAGAAACGGACCAAAAGGACCTAAGGTAATTAATTAATAGATTCGTCATTTATATGTATGATCAAATAATGTGATAACTCTGTCCGAGATGACCTTATGTCCATAGATTAATGCATTAAAAAAAAGTGTATGAATTGTTAAAAAAGTATCTAGATTCTAATGAAAGTAAAAAAAAAAGTGTCATTTTGGCAATTCAAAACCTCAAACTGTTATATCATGCGGAACTATTCTAGGAAAAAGTACAAATATTTTCTAATCAAATTTTGTCACATCATATATACTTTCTTGGTTGTTTTATATTTTTTTCATAAAATACTTTATCCTTAACTAAAATAAAATAAGTTATTTCTTATTGAAATATTTTTGAATGAGGTTGTGTAAAGTCTATAAAGATGTTAACTAATGTTTATTATACAATCTCCATATAATCGAATGTTCGAATCTATCTAGCATGACTATAATATCTACATTTTCAAAGATAATTTGGATGTATAACTTATACAATGTTAACTTGGTGCAGTCGTTATGTAATGCTTGTGGAATCCGATTCAAGAAGGAGGAGAGGCGTGCAACGGCCAGAAACTTAACGATATCCGGTGGAGGTTCATCGGCGGCAGAAATTCCGGTAGAGAATCCGTACAACGGAGGTGGAAACTATTACAGTCATCATCACTATGCTTCGTCGTCGCCGTCGTGGGCTCATCAGAACACACAAAGAGTTGCGTATTTCTCACCGGCACCGGAGATGGAATATCCCTACGTGGATGAGGTCACGGCTGCTTCGTTTATGTCTTGGAATTGACGTGTCACGTAAGCAAGTCCGACTTCGATCGCCTTCTCCACCATTTTGACGAGATGAAGAAGAAACGTTTAATTATGGATCATGATGATGATGATGAAAAGTTAATTATCATAGATTCTATCACACAAAGTAAAATCAGTCTTGGTCAAATTCATTATTATTTTTAGTTTCTTTTTTATTTTTATTTCAACTATAGCTACTTGTGTTTCTTTTCAGGACTTTTTTGACAGCTATATTGGTGTTAATGATATATACGTAGTGTATAACCCTTTTGATGATGTTTCCACTTGCTTTGACCGTATATGATACATATATTTCAACTTTATTTTTTATCGTCTTTTTAAATCTTTAACATTTTCCGATGCAACGTTAATTAAGTGATCTAGTTTTGCTTCTTTTTGTAGCAAATACATATACCATCCTCGCATTTTATTTCATGTCATACGAATATAAAATTTAATTAGCCAAAAGGGTATTGTTACGTAAATTTGGCGGATTTTCGAGCTTTTCTTGGTTCCTACAAAATGAAAAAGCATTAAAAGACAAGTTTGAGATCACTTAAAAGGGAGTCAGAGATGAGTGGAAGGAAGGGCTGGGCAAAAAAATCAGAACTGAGTACCCGAATTGGAATCCACCCGAAAATTTTGACCCGAATCCGAACACAAAAATTTAGATATATCTTATTGGATCCTAAACTCATCTACCCGAAAATCCGAACCCGATCCCAACCCAAAAATACCTGGACGTTTTATTCGAAAACTCGAAATTTTACCCGAAAATCTAGATATTTATCCGAAAACTCGGGTATTTACCCGACAACCCGAGAATTTATCCGAATATTTATATAGCCGGTATTTAGCGGTTCTGAAAATGTATATCTGAATCTGAAAGAATCCAAACCAAAACCGAACCGATTGTTTTATTTACCGTATTGGGTTCTAAACTCCTCTACCCAAAATACCTGTATCCGATCAGGTTTTATCCGAACCCGACCCGCGTACCCGAATGTCCAACCCAGCTAAGTGAAACAATCAATTAGTGAGGGGTCATGCAGTGGACATATTACTTGCTAAAAATCTCGTTTCGATTGGGAAGACTGAATTTCAAACTCCAAATGAAATTTTTTCTATCTATAATCTTTGATGTTGTTGATGAACAATCTATCATAATTGTTGAAAGAGCTTGTAGTAATGGTAATTATGTCGTTGGTGAGTATAAAATAACTACTTCAGAACATACACATGTTCTTGACAAATAACAAAAAAAAAAAAAAAAAGAGAAATTGGATATAAAGGAAGTTTACCATAATTTTTGTCCATATATATATTTTTGGTGAAATTGTTACTTTGGACTAAACTACACCTACACCCTATTTTAAACAGTTTATTAAAAAGATAACCATAAAAACATGTAGATATTCAATAATATATATGACTTGAAGTAAAAAAAAAATTGATTTTGTTGAAAAAACTTGATTTTTGTATAGATAAAGTCAGAATGTATATTCTACATTTTTCTTTATGTTCTGCGAATTTTATACTTGTTTTCCGTTCTGAAAATTTCAGAAATCCGAATATCAAATTTCTAAAATATTTGGAACATGCATTCTACGTTTTGCTCTATGTTCTATTTTTTTTTTTATTGAATATATGTTCTACTAATTAGTGCATATTTTTCCATCGATAGAAATTATAATTTTTTTTTAGAATGTAAATTCTACGAAAATGTAGATTTTATTTTCTGAAATTTTTAGAATTCTCTAAATATAGAAAGTGAATAATAAGACAATGAAACTAAATATTAGTTTAGATTACGTTTTAAATAGAATTTAATTTTTTATATTACGATCTACATAATTTAGAATTCCTTGTCTAAATTTTTTAGAATTTTTTAAAACTAAATCATCTAAAACCTATGCCCCATCGATTCTGTGTTTACGATACTCGTTTTTCCTTCTTCTTCCCTACTCCACGAACCAATACAAGGCTGAAATACACTTCAATCTTCGTCGAGATGAAAACAGGAGGACTCCACATGCCACCGAACACACAGACGGTGGAGCTATCACCGACTGCCTCAATTCAGAGAAAGTGTAGGTTTTTTTTTGTTCTCTCGTTCTATGAAAAGAAAAAAAAATAACATGTTTTTTATTAGGTCTTGGAAGACTCTTTATGAATTAGAGGTTTAGTAATTTTAGATTTATATTTCAATTTTGTAAATAAATTAGGAAGTCTTAATTTTTAAATGAAATTTGAGAGAAAATAAGGGTAAATTTGGGTTTTGAATTTTAAAAAACCTATATGATCAATCTACCAAAATAAGGTATATATATGGACAAAAATTATAGTAGATATCTTTTTTATCCAATTTTCCCAAAAAAATATACTTCCCACCTCAGCAAATATTTACCCAAAATCTCTTGCAAGTCTTTTGTTTACAAAATCAAGAAACATATATATACATATTTTTTTTTATTGTGATATGGTTTAGAATGGCTCTATATGCGGTTTAGGTAATTTGCTCTAAACTTCATTAATCATATACCCTAAAACCCTCGCCCGCAAAATCTCGCTACGTAACGGAGAAACCCAAAACGGTCGGCTTTGGAGTCTTGTCTCGCTTGTCCGACTTAGATTTCATTCCATGGCTTTCTGGGGTGAGCTCGCCGTTTCTTTTTCTTTAATTTAAAAAAAAAAAACAAAACCAAAACCTAATTTTCTTTCAATCATCGATGGAGAAGAAACAAAAGACCTAATTTTTTATACAGGAGTTAGACGTTGATAAGAGATTTGTATGTTTAATACACAGGAGTTGAAGTGGAGCCAGGAAAGCCTTTCACTCTTAAGGCTACCGAAGCAACAAGAATAAGAAGACTTCACCTTTCCCATGTCTTTATTCTCTACCCTAAATTTTGTTGATATACTACAACCTTTTGTGTAACGTAACTTGGTTGATATTTGACTTGTTTTTCTTGGTTTAGGCGACATTAGGGGGGATTGGTAATGAAACAGCTAGACACATTCTTGTGTGTAACGTTGGGAACAGACGACCTCTCTACTTATGCATCTTGTCTCCTGGAAAGGTTGATTCTTGCCAACTGAATCTCGACTTTGAAGAAGCCGATGAAGTTATCTTCTCTGTTATTGGACCTCTTAGCATTCACATCACTGGCTACTTCCTCCCTATTCCTACCGCTTTTAGGCTAAATGATGACGTACAAGTAGGTAACAATGAAAATTTCTATCCGAGTTGTAAAATTAACGTTAGAACTAGTAGATTCCTTTCACGTTCTGTTCATGGTTTGAGAATTTTGGGATTTTAGAAAGATATGCAGGTTTTAGGTAGGAGTGAGCTTTCTGATTACCCATTACCTGTATTCTACGAACGTTTATATAAGCTGGTGGATGATCCTTCTTCGGATTCAATCATTTCATGGAGCAAAAAAAGCAAGAGCTTCGTCATTCGAAATCAGAAAAAGTTCATTCGCAGAAAGATTCATTCGAGATTTCCCTTTTCCAGCACATTTGAAAAGTTTATCTCCATGCTTAAGTATTACGTAAGTTTTTTCTCAGATTTGCAAAATATAGCATTTTATTTTAAACGCTTGCTTATATATTTTGTTCTTGATGTTAGTTTGGTAGGGCTTTAGCGAAATGAAGAGGTCAGATGGGCTACTGGAATTCGGCAATGAGAATTTTGTGAGAGGTCAACCTATGCTTATGAAGGAGATGCACCTGAAAGCTATGATGAAGAGGATTAACAAAGATCTCACGGTATTTAAAGCTCAGCGGAGATAGAAAAATCTAAAGACTTTTAACAGAATCTCATCATGCTTGCAGTCATCTTCTCTTTTCATGCGTTTGTTGTTGTTCCAGCTGCTTTCTTTCTTGTATCCAGAATTTGTTTGGCTTTGTAATTGAAACTATGTTATGTTTTCTGACCAAGGATCCTCTATTTCCATGATCGAGATATACACTTGTAGAAGTTTGGGGAAAACTCTCAAACCTTGTGTGTATCTTTTGTTTGTGTTCCAGGACTCTTTTAAAAGAATTCTAACTTGTTTACGAAATCTAGAAACAGCTTCAAAATTTTTGTCATTCGGTTTAGAATTGCTATAGTTTAGGTTATTGCTCTAAGAGTAAACATGGAGTCTCTCATTGAGTTTTTCACCTATAAAATAACAAAAAAAAGAATAAAGTAAGTCTCTCCTTTGAGAGACTTTGAAAACATTTGTAACGACGCATTTGATACATGTCTCAACATAATTGGTTATTGAGAGACTAAGAGAGGTTCTCCCCACTCTACATGCTCTAAGCGTCATCTACTTTTTGTTCTATGTATGCAAAAACTTCTTCACTCTATAACCCTCTTCTTTTATTTCTTCCTAAAACCCTCCTCCAACAAAAACCTCGCCACAAAACGGAGAAACCCAGAAGAAAGGGGTCGACTTTGGAGGTTTTTTTCTGACATTCAATGGCTTTTTGGGGTGAGTTCTCCGATTCTTTCTTTTTCTTAAACCCAAAAAAACAAAGTGAAAAATCATCACTTGAGAAGAAAAAAAGAGAGTAACTTTTATATGAAGATGTTGATGAAAGATTTCTATATTTGCAAGAGTTGAAGTAAAGCCTAGAAAGCCTTTCACCCTCAAAGCTACTGGAACAACATGCATAAGAAGAAGACTTCACATTTCTCAGGTCCTTAAATTTTGTTGATTTTCAGAATTTGTATGTTCACTGTCATCTTCTCTCTAATTAGTTAATTTCGTATGTCTACTCTCGATTTGAGTGTGTTTAAACGTGTTTGAGAGCTTTATTTACATATAAAATAGGGAATTTGGACTATTTGTTTGTGTAACTTGGGCATATCGTTGACATTTGTTTCTTGGTTTAGGCGACATTGGGTGGGCTTGCTAATGAAACAACTAGACAAACTCTTTTGTGCGATGTTGGAGACAAACCACCTCTCTACTTGTGCATCTTATCTGCCGGAAAAGTTTAAACTTTCCAACTGAATCTAGATTTTGAAGAAGTTGATGAAATTATTTTCTCAGTGATTGGACCTCTAAGCATCCACCTTACTGGCTACTTCCACCCTACTAATAATGATCACAAGACTCCCCCAGGTTCTTGTTTTAGAGTGTCCTCTGCCTTCAAGGATTACAAATTTGAAGGAAATAAGTCCTACATTATTAGGAAAGGGTGAGCTCAATGGGAAGTCTGAAAGTGGTTTTACCAAAACACTACAAGAGACCTATCAAAGTGTTGGATTTTTTGAAAACAATGGAAGGTTGTTGTTATCCAAACTCTTGGATCGCTTATCGGACATTGTTAACAGTTTCAGTTTCTGTTACACTGCAAAAAGAAGCTTTTCAAAGTTGAAACTGATAAAATTTTACCTTCGAGCAACTATATATGTCACAAGAAAGGTTGAATTATTTGGTTTTATAGAGAGAAAATTGGTTACAATTCGATTATGTGAGTTTGATGAATAATTTTTTTTGAAGAAAGATATAAAATTGTCGTTTAGATTTATTTTGTTTCTATTGTCCTTTAGATTTTTTGAATTAAGAAAAACCACAATATTCTTACTTGTCCTAAGCTTTAATTAGCCTAAGCACGGTACTGATTATGCACAGTCTCGCACACACATATCATGTTTTAAAGTTCAATGAACATGTCATGTCTTGCACACACACGAAATGGAGATCAAACCATCCAGTGATGTGTTACCCTCTCATCGGAAATGATGATGATGATGATACAAAAACTGAATCAAGGAAAAATAGGAGAATGAATAAGAGAGAGGAAACTATTGATGTCAACACAAATCATTTGAATGTTCAGAGAACAAGAAGCAAGCTACCGACAAGTGAGTCATACCTTTATAATTTAATTCCAAATTTCTGTTGAAAACATGGTAGAAATAAGTATAACAATCTGCAAATACAAGGTAGTATATGGTATGATCAACTTTTTGGGGTTTGGCTCATGAGACAAGCTTTTGCTATACTTGTCTCTTCAGTTTTTTTTTTGTTTTTACTCTCTTGTGGTTTACTAGTATTTTGAGGTTATAAGGTAGTCTTATAAAATTTCATTCCTACAATGATTAGGAACGTGAAGAAGAAAGCTCGTACTAAGAAACCACCGCCAGAACTAGAGATATCATCAACTAAAGTACTCATTGAAGAGATTGAAAAAGGAAACTCATATGGAAAGTCAATTGTTAACGAGAAAAGGATGAGTATATTTTACTTCTACGTCTTGTGCAATATTTAAAAACGATTGATGGATGTATAATGTTTCATCAGAGCGTCCAGACACCAATTTAGTGGTGGTCTAAAGAAATGGCAAGCCTTTCCAGCCAACCAACCTCCCCAAATGGAAATCCTTTCTCTAAAGTTCATGGACATTGAACAGCATCAAGTCGCTGTTTCTAATTAATGTTTCTAGGTCACAGTTTGTTGTTAATCGTACTTCAAAAACATACTAAAAATCTGCCTTCTAACGATACTAAACATATATGGCAACTGGGAGTCCTAAATAGTAGCATCTTTGTACTCCAATTTGTTGTAGCAACTAATAGAGAAGATTGGCTGAAATCTCCTTGTATTGTCTCCTTAGTTGTAGTAAAGAACTGGAGATTCAAGATTTACCATCTCTTAGGAAAGAATTATTTTCCAAATATAGAAGAAATCTTTATATATAAAAAAAATATTTGAAATATATCTTCCTTCTTGGAGAAATCATGTCCATCATCCTTCTCTTTCGAGAAGAGACCTATTTCATCTATCCTCTCCGATATGGAGAGTGTGTTTAAAAGCTCAGCCTTGATGGCATTTAGAGCTCAATTTGTTCACTCGCCTCTATTGGCAATTGAATGAGCTTCATCCTCGGATTTCTTACAAGACCGAGTGTTGACGATCGACTTCAAACCGATCATTCTCGAAGCCCCCGCAATGGAGTTTCTGGTTATTTTCCACGGATCTAACCTTCTATCGTTTCGTTTTCAAGCTTTGTTATTCAATTGTATCTCAATTTCAAGCATTGGACAAGGCTTCTCTTTGGCAATGAGTCTCCAACTTTGTTTGGTTGTTGTAATCACAAGTTAGATTAATATAATTCCGTTGACAAAAAAAAGAAAAAAACGTTGAAATATATATTTATTGTAATTATATTTAATATTTGTATACGTTTGGTTATTGATTTTTTTTAGTTTTGTTATTTTGAATTAATTGCATATATTCTTAATTAGTTGTATATTGTTATTTAATATTTTTATACATATTTACGTTCTGTTATAATACTAAAACGTTCTCATACCTCAATGGTTAAGAGTAGTCTTTTCTAAGTGTTACAGGACAACAGTTCAATTACTCGTATAGCGGATTGTTAACCGTGTGAACGTCTGTTTAACGAAAAATTAATGACATATCCGAAATGACCTAGTCAACGAAACTTGACCATCTTATCAAATAGTCAAACTAAACTTTACTATTTTATGGTATTTCGAAAATTCATACTTTTTTCCCCAAATTTGAAAGTTTGTATTTTTTTGACATTTTTCTCTTTTAACATATAGAGCCCTTTTAAAATATTCAACAACATGAAAAGCTGTTTTTTCATGACTCATCAGTTCACAACACTGTAATATCCAAACCACCGGGGTAAATGATTGCATTGCATGCACAAATGCACTCAAATGCACCCCACAGTACACATGTACATGTACATCATACATAACGAAATTAAATGACCTTACAACATTCGCCTAAATATCTTACTGCTGGACGCGCCTTTATTGATATAAATTGCATACTTAATTAGGACGATATGGACCATTGATCGATGTTGTGAATTTCTCAACCAACCCTGCAGAAGAAAAAAAATCAACAATTTATTATTTATTTCAGCTTTTAAAGTTTAGAATTTAAATTAAACAGACAAAATTAAAAAATGTTAAATATTATAATTGCATAATTATACTACAAGAAATGCAGCGTTTTCCTACGGCTAAAATCGTAGGAGATTGGTAGGAAATAGACGTTGTCTACCAATTTCCTACCAAAAATGTTTGAAGGGAATCGTCCGTAGGAAATAGAATTTGGTAGGAAATTCGTCAGAAATTTCTTATGAAACTTGTTCGTAGGAAATTTTGTAGGAAAGTGGTATGGTCTTTCCTATAATTGACACAAATTATTCCAAAATTGAGTAAAAACATATTGTTTCTAAACAATAAAGTTATGGTCAATTAATATAGAAAACAAAGTAAAATATCATTTAACAAAATTATTTATTCAATTTTGTAATTTCAGATTGAAATTATTGTTTCGTCTATTCTTACTACCTAGAGTTAGTGTTTTTTAAAAAAGAGATAAACAGAAAATAGATAAAAGTTTCAAAATATGATTATATTCGTGTAATTATGTTCACCGTATGTTCTTTACTAAAGATTAATATTTTAAAGTATTTTGAACTTTAAAGCTTGTTCATTTCTATAGAAAGGTGAACTAAAACTCAAGATACTAGACAACTACAAAAATCAGTAGGAGATGCATATATCATTCAAAACGTACGTAGTGCAGTCGACAGTAGGAGATGCATCAACGGGCAAGCTCGCACCACAATTGCTAGCAAGGGCTTGAGCCAATTCAGGCTTCACGGTAACACTGTTTGCCACTGACTTGATGCATTGACAAGCTGCCTTCTTATCGGCAGATGTGGTGGTTGCAGCCGCTAAACTCTTAACTCCGTCGCAGCAAGTCTTCGGAGGGTTTCCACTTCCGCTGGTCAAATAGCTCACACATGGCTGCAAATCCTGTATCACAACACTGCAAGATATCGCGGATTCAGAATAACGAGGTATAAAGAATATTCCGAGAACGGAAATGATCGCTAGACTTTTCAATACATTCATCGTTGTAAATGGAGAAATAATTAAATAAAAGTCTTAATTAGTGTATTCTTTGTGTTTGCTACATATGTAGAGTGAAGACGAAGCGTTTATATATTTGGTGAATTAGGAAATCATTTTATTAAAAATTAGAGATTTATTAGATGTTGGTTTAGGGTTGTGATGGAGTGAAAGTAACTTCTAATAAAAATGTAAAATTCAACATTTTGGTATGACATTTTTGTAAAATAAATATTTTTTGGTCTAGGTAGTTAGGTTATAGAGATATCTTGTCATTTTGGGTTTGTGCATATTAAACTTATAATCGTTTAGGTACAATTGGTGACTACATCTACAACACTCAAAGATGACGTGTTTACTTAAGTGTTGGAGCTAGGTTAGTCCAATAAGGGGTTCACTAATTAATCACAGAGGAGTAGTACGTAAATGTGCGTAATTGTCTAATTGCGTAGCTCAATAAAATCAAAATAAAATATTTTCAGAAAAAAACCAATTGAGAATATATAAATCATAGAAGGTATGGACGTGGGCTTTCTTTGGAGTGGTGTGAAAATGACCTATATAGTCCGATGAAAGATTTAATTTTACAAATAATATTTATTTACAAAGATGAAATACTGTAGATGATGTCTTTCTGATTTTTTTATTCGAACATTAAAACTTACAATGATGTAAATACATTTTTACAAAAGAGTCATATAGTAGTTATAATTTACTTTTTTTTTTTGTTATGCAAGCTTTTTCAAAAAAAAGTTTTTAACCAAAATGAAGAGAAGAAGAGGATATGAACTATATACATAGCTAAATTCTACTATTTTTGTAAATAACTAACATACAAGTTTATTTAACAAATTTCAGATTATCTTATATAGTACCATGCTATATATTTTAAATAACAAGTGAAAAACATATTTATTATTTACGATTTTGGCACTACATATGTTGTAAACTTTAACCAAATTAAAATTTGATTATTTAGTAAATAACCCCAAATGAGAACAAGAAAGTTTTTTACAATATACCGATCAGGAAGTGCGATTTCCACTCTGACTAGATTCAGAGATTATATGCAAGGCAAGTAATTAGGAAATCAATCATCTCTAAGTTTTCTTTGTCCTTGATAATAGTTTATTAGTGTTGGTTGGTAACATTAGGAAAAGGTACGGTAAAAACTTTTTTAAAAATATAAGTGTAATATAGAATGACAGTATAATTATTAAACGAACAGAAAACTGAGAATTTTTTTTACTGGCGAAAGACAGAACTTTATTTGTTCTAATTAATCACACCAAAAAAAAAAATGTTCTAATTAATTAATATTGAATCATATATAATTCCTTATAGAGTAATTTTATAAATAGCTGCAAATTAGTATCCTATATTGCAAGTTATGGATCAAAACGTCGAACAAGATAAATATAAAATATGTAAAACATAAAGACTCTTTAAAATGTCTTTAGGATCATGTTATAAAAAAAAATGTGTAAAACAAGAAATGATTGGTTGAATATAAAATAAGAACCCAGCACCAGATACATTATAATTAATCCCAACTCAAAAAGCTTTAAAATCTTCACCTTCCATTTGCTATTATATTCCATCTTCAAACATCTCTCTCCCTCCAAACAAGAAAAAGAGTAAATATACAATGGTGAACTTTGTGGATTCACAAAAACCATTGTTGTACCGTCTCATGAAATGGGCTGGTGTCATTCCGTACACCGTAGAGATTGAACCAGGGACGAAGATGAAATTCTGGATCCCAAAAGAAACCCTAAAAAAGTCCAAAAAATCTGACAAAAACTCTGCCGTGGAACCCCAAAAACCTACCAAACCAGTCCTCTTGTTCATCCACGGCTTCGCAGCTGAAGGGATTGTGACGTGGCAGTTCCAGGTCGGATCCTTAGCCAAGAAGTACTCAGTCTATATACCGGACCTCCTCTTCTTTGGTGGGTCTTACTCCGACAACCCGGACAGGTCACCAGCGTTCCAAGCCCACTGTTTAGTCAAGTCTCTTCGTATCCTCGGCGTGGATAAGTTTGTCCTTGTAGGGTTTAGTTACGGTGGCATGGTGGCTTTCAAGATAGCTGAGGAGTACCCTGAGATGGTTCAAGCCATGGTGGTTTCAGGTAATTACTATATTTTTGGATGTCTCAATCTTTTCTATAGGGTGGTTAAAACGGGTTAACCCGCCTCCGTTTGACCCAACATATAATAGGCTAAAATGTATTGCGAGTTTTGGTGGGTCGGTTTTCTCAAAACCATGGTCTAGGAAATTACTTCCATACCGATCGAGAGTTCAAGATCGTATTTAACACTCTCTTTTTTTCGTATACCAATCATAGTAATTACAAGATACCGTAAATTATTCTAAAAGTCTATTTTCTTATATTTTTACATTGTAATCTCATTCTTAAAACTTACATATATACAATAAGAACTTCTTTCATTATCAGGTTCGATACTCGCGATGACTGATACAATCAGTGAGTCTAATTTGAACCAGTTAGGGTTTAAGTCATCGGCGGATCTTTTGTTACCAACTTCGGTTAAAGGACTCAAGACTCTCTTTACCCTTGCTGTTCATAAACCCATGTGGTTCCCGAATCGGCTCTTCAAGGATTTCATTGAGGTACACCTACTCAAACTCTGCAACTGGCTCTCTATACAGGGCCGTCACAATGAGTAAAAAAAAAGGCATTTGCCTTAGGCCTCTTCTAAAGTAATCAAATTTTGGCCCCAAATTTTAAATAATTATATAGAATATTAGTAAAATATTTTTATTTTTAGTGTTATTTTTCTTAAGTTTGAAATTTTGTTTAATATATCAAAACTATTTTTATTTATCTCTAATAATTTACAATATAATGTTTTTGAATTTTAGTATTTTTATAGATAAAAAATGTTAACTAAGAAAATAGAATACAAAAATTGTATAAAATTATATATTTATAGTTAATTGTACAAAATGTTATTTTCATAGATTAAGAACATAGTGTTAAATATCTCTAGTTTAGTAAAAAAAATATTTTTAGTTTTAGTTATAAGTTATAACACATTTTATTATGAAAATATATAAACCATCTCGTTTTTTTTTTTTTTTTTTTTTTTTGCTTTAAACCACCAAAACTATAGACACGACCATGTCTCTATATTATAATTTTTCTTAAAATATATTTAGCAACTGTATATTAGTATCCATTTGGTCAAATATGGACACGAAATTGATCTCCGAGCTCGATAAAGAGCTTGTCATAACTAGATTACAACGAATGGAGTAATAATTAGTATTGATATGTTAGGTTTTATATTTAACTTTATACCTACCTTTAATTTTTTTGTGCAAAAACTTATATTTATGAACCCCTAATCATTAGTTAGGAATCAATTTGGATTCTTATTTGTTAAGAAAATAAATAATTGTCATATGCTATAGTAATATACCTTTTTTTGCAAAATGTGAAGGTGATGATTACCAATAGGAAGGAAAGAGCAGAATTGTTGGAAGCTTTGGTCATCAGCAACAAAGATGTGACCATCCCTCGTTTTCAACAGGTCTTTATATAAGATGAAAAAAAAAAGTCATTCACAAGAAAACATATGGAACTGTTCGTTTATACTAGTAATTAAATCATTATTGACAAAATAATATTTCTCCATATCGTATAAGAAATGCTATATATATTTATTACAACTTAAAATCTAAAATACACTTAAAAATTTACTACTTAATGCATCAATTGATATTATTAATTATTATTTTGTTTGGCAGAAAATCCATCTTCTGTGGGGCGAAAGTGATCAAATTTTTAACCTTGAATTTGCCAAGAGCATGAAAGAGTAAGTTTCAGTACCGCAATATTTTTTGTCAATCACATATATTTAGTCTCGTTTATATTTTGTTTTAAAGGCAACTAGGCGAAAATGCAACAATGGAGAGTATAAAAAAAGCAGGTCACTTGGCACATTTGGAGAGACCTTGTGTCTATAACAGACGTCTCAAAAAGTTTCTTGCTTCAGTTTACTCCGAAAACTAAATTCGGTTTAATTGAACATAAATTAAATAATACATAAATGATTCTCACATCAATGCCCAATGAATTTATTTATCTTATTTCTTTGGTTGTAATTCTTCTGTCAAAAATAATGTAACCTGATATATTTCCTAAAATAATGTATGCCTGTATGGTTCATTGAAATGTTATACTAGTTTTCTAGATAATTTTCAATTTTATGTCCGTAGTATTTCTATAAATCAGAGAATGGGGATCTTCTAGTTGTAGGGCCTAATCTCTATACGGCCCAGTTAGCAAAGTGTCAATGGGTCAGAAGACATATTGAAGGAATTCACGAAAATGATTTTTTTTGTTTCTTTTCTAATTTTTGCCAACTATTTTCATCCTATCTTTTTCGACCCAAATACTGGTCCTCTATTTAACATCATGAACCCACATCAATTTTAAATAACAAACCTAAACTATATAACCGTTAACCAATTTCAACATAATTTTTTTTGTATTTGTTAATGTAGATTAGAATTATTAAGTCATAATTATCTGTTCCTTTGTATCCTAATCATTTCTTTTATTCAACTCGCTAAAGGCTACATAATTTATGATTGTTACATTATAAAATAACGTATATATTGAAATTGGCTAACGGTTACATTGTTCATGTTTGTTATTTGAAATTATATGGATTCAGGTTGATAAATGCACGAGGTCAGAGTTTAGGTTGAAAAAATCCGCATCGAATTGAAATTGATTTTGGTCGTTTTCCTCATCTGGATAGATCATTAAATCTGAGCACTTGCCCTGTTTTCACTTACATACTACATACTAGTGTATATGATATTTAAGAAGTGAACGCTTTTATTAGTAGCTGAGTCTGGGCAAAAATAGGAAAGATTATTTAGAGAGTTCACTCGCTTTTTGAATAAACATGATTACTTTACTGATTTACCTGCTTTCGTCCTACTACTACAAATAATTAGTGTGTAATCAACCATTGTAAAAGCAAGTAAGACTCGGTCGAAGAGTGCAAGACAGAAGGCTGGGGAACTGCCACGTGCATGCCTAATTCATTTCCCGAAATTTACCCATACAAATTTTTACTGTATCTCATATTTATATTTTTAAGCAGATTATGATATAACAATACAATAGTATACAATTATTTTAATACTCTAATTACTCGGAAATTGATCCATAACTAGTTGTCATTGCCGACATGTTTAAGAAAGTAAAGGTTGGAGAAATATTTTAACACATTAGCAATTTAAATTCATATAGAAAATATTCTGCTGTCAGAGTATCCAGATTCCAGATGCATTACCCCTAGTCATGTATTTATTTTATTTATGCATTTTACGAATATTTCTGTTTTGTTACCGTCAAATTTATAAAATTTTGATGAATTATTGTCAAATCCAAATCCTCACTATGAAAAGATCAACTTTACCTTTACAATTTTAAAAATCGAATGTATGTGATTGTAAAAACGTTTACAGTCTACATATAAAGATTATATTGTATATTGATTAATATGTACTTTTTAGGGATAAATGATAAAATTACAAAAATTGGCGCATTGCCCTTTTCAAAATCAATAAAACCTTTTTGATATAGCATTTATTGTTGCAATTTATTGCTATATTTTAAGATGAGCTATAATTAGACAAATGAAATTGTATTTATTTTTGTATGAAACAATTTGAACAAAATATTTTTTAATCTTTAAAAAATAAAGAGAAAGAGAGAACACATTCCTATTATTTTCTTCAAATTTTGTGTTCCTCTTCACTATTTGACTTTTTTTAAAGCATAAATTACTCGGACCGAATCATAAAATGTTAGTAAAGAAAGCATAAAATAATTATTTCACTTATCTTTCTATAAAGTCAATTTCATCATCTTCACTTTCTGTATTACACAAAAAGCTCTATTAGTGTAACAGTAAATATGGTCTATTTTCTAAATTGTAAATAGTGAATGGTCTTGTTTTCTAATATCTTTTAGAAAACTGTCCATAACACCAATTCACCCTATATTATATGCATAGAAAAAGTTTTGTGCAAAAAAAACCTCTAACTCGTCAATTTTTGCAATTTTACCCTCCACATCCAAAAAATACAAATTAAACGAAATAAAAAATAATACGTAATGTAACCCTTTTTGCTACCATCAAGTTTGTAAAATTTTTGATGAATAATATCTTAAATTGAAACCCCCGCGACGAAAAGTTTAACTCTACCTTTAGAATTTTAAAATTCTAATGTATGTGACCGTAAAAATATTTACAATATATGTAAAAGGGTTATCTTGAGTATTATTTATGACTTCGTAAGATTAATTTATATTTCTGGGAAGTAAAGGGTAAAGTTGCAAAAACTTGCTAGTTAGAAGTTTTTTTTTGTATAAAATCCCAATAAAATTAATATTTCTACTAATTTTAAATATATTGTCATTACATATATATATAATTATATTCAATACATATTAGTAATATAATTGTTAATACTGAAGGATAAAGTTTCATAGGCTTTGTTTCCTTTATAATGCTCTGTTTTCAATTTATTAAGATTATGTCTCTTGATTTAAATCCTCTGTACATCATAAATAAATGTCACATTAAAAAAAAATTCTTAGTTTTATTTATTTTTCATAGAATGTTATGTATAGTTATTAAAAGGATATATATTAATATTATATAAAAAGTACAATAATAGAATGATATACTAGCTTTTAAGATGATAGTTATTCTAAATTTTTGAATATTATTTTCTTCTTGTCTCCTAAACTTCTGAATATTATTTTCTAAAATGGCATTGTTAGAAATTAAGAATCTCAAAATTAAATAAATGTCACATTAAAAAAGTCTTAGTTTTATTTATTTTTCAGAGAATGTTAGGAATAGTTATTAAAAGGATATATGTTAATATTATATAAAAAGGTGCAATAATAGAAGAGAAATTGTTAAAAATGCCCATTTTTCAATACCCCTTATCAAAAATGCCCCATTTGAGAATCCATTTTTAAGTTTGCCCTCTTTTAATTTTTAATGACCATTTTACCCTTATTTGAAACAAAATTAGGTCCACAAAATACAAAATATTTTTTGGCCGGGAAATTGATACCGCAATTTTGCCGCCAAAACACTTGTAAAAACTTTTAAAATACCTTGTAAAATTTTCCCGTAAAAAATTTTCCCGCCAAAAAATTTTTTTTGCGGGAAAAGTGATTTCGCAATTTTTTTGGCGGGAAAATTTTTGGCGGAAAAAATTTACAAGGTATTTTAAAGGTTTTTACAGAGTATTTACTAGTGTTTTGTAAGGTTTTACAATGTACTTATAAGGTTTTATAAGGTATTTATAACTTGTAAAACCTTATAAAAAAATTTGTAAAACCTTATAACTTGTAAAACCTTATAAAATAGCTTGTAAAATCTTATAATATCTTATAAATACCTTATAAATACATTGTAAAACCTTTTAAAATACATTGTAAAATCTTATAAATACCTGTAAAAAACCTTTAACGCTATTATAAGAATTTAACGCTATTATAAAAAACCTTTAACGCCAAAAAAATTGCGGAATCACTTTTCCCCGCAAAAAAAATTTTTTGGCGGGAAAAATTTTGGCGAGAAAATTTTACAAGGTATTTTAAAGGTTTTACAAGTTTTTACAAAATCAAATTTGTAATTTTGATGTGTGCACATTCTCATGTTTTCCTTATATATTTGTGATATTTTTTATTAAAAGAACGGTAATTTAGTTATTTTATACATAAAAAAGGATATTTAAAAAAATGGACAGCCAAAAGGGACATTTTTGAAAAGGGTTATTGACAAAGGGACATTTTTGTGAGTCTCCCATAATAGAATGATATACTAGCTTTTAAGATGATAGTTATTCTAAATTTTTGAATATTATTTTCTTCTTGTCTCCTAAACTTCTGAATATTATTTTCTAAAAAGGCATTGTTAGAAATTAAGAATCTCAAAATATTAGTAATTCTTTTTCGTCACGAAATATTAGCTAGTATTGACTACTGATTATTGTTTTGCACAAAAGAAAAAAAGAAAGAAAAGAACAAAAAAAAAAAAAAAGAACAAAAAAAGAGACTATTGTTGTAAAAGTCAAGGAAAGCTGCAACATCAAATACATATGCGTAAACGATCGTAAAATAATATTTTGTGTGGAGCCCACGGTCACTATGCATGCATAGTAACTTACTTTTTCCTGCCTATATAAACGAACGAATTCGTTCGTTGTAAATCACATTTTCATACTTCAACAATAAGAAGTTATAAGAACTCTCTCTCCTCCTCTCATCTCTTTATTTTCAGTATCCCGATCCTTCTGCGGGTATAATTCTTTCTCCATTATTTATATTTATATACACCATATAATAAAGTAATTATTATAAAGAAAAAATATGAGAAAAAAAAAAGGAGAAAAGAAAATTATATAAATAAATAAAAGAAACTATATATGTATATATATGTTACTTCATGCACCATAATTAATTATTTTCTGTTAATGGTTGGCTGAGCCACCTGAAATTTTATTCACTGCTTTAAATATTTATTTCTGCTACCGGTCGGCTGAGCCGCCTTAATTTTATGCAATGCTTTAAATATTTATTTCTGCTACCGGTCGGCTGAGCCGCCACATATATATTTACTGTTTCTATATGGATAATTCGTCACCATAATATCACTGTGAATTATTTGTTTATATTATGGTTTATTCACCTGTATAAATATTTTTATCTGAATCGATAATTTTTATCTTATTGATCTCTAATTTTTCAGATTAATTTTTTTGTTTAAATCTTTTTCCGCCAACGGTCTCAAAGAAAAATTTCAAAATTTTTTCAAAAAATTTAACTTTTTCCAACGGCTAGGAATAGTATTTTTCAATCTATAAATTCATTCATTTTCTCATTCATTTCATCAAAACAAAACTTTTTCATCTCTCTAAAAAATCTCTCCGAAAAAAGAAGAAGAATTTTGAAGTTTTGAAGTTTTGAAGAATGTTTCGATTATTTTTAATATTTGTTTTTGGAATCATTATTATGTGTATCTATAATCTTTGCGTTGTAGATTTTACTCCGCAAGAATTTCGTTTGACCATTAGTTTACTTGTTTGTACGTTTTTTCTTTTTGTAATCGCTTGCATTATTAATGTAAATGG